TTTGAGCATCATAGTTCTTTGAGTATTGTAGGGCCCTGTTTTGAATGATGAACATTGGTACTTTTAATTTTGGCCTGGAAACCAACCTGAGGTCAGAACTACAGTCATAAAAGTGAATGTTCTATGCTACAATGACCTTGAAGTGGGTAGAAACACAGGAATGCCATTAGCCTAGTTCTCAGAAGTGTCCTGTCATAGCAAGGGTGTTTCTGTCCTTGTTGTTAGAAGACGGAGGGAAGATGGCTAACCTTCCCTGCTTCCAGTCATATGCATTCCCATAAAACTCTCAGACAATGTGTCATTAGAAGGATATGGAAATCAACTCCTGTCCCAGAAGTCATGACAGCAAGAAAAGAAGACAACAAAATGGAAACCTGACAAAATGGTGTTTTATTTATAATTTATAGGGTTCGAATCCCCACTTGGCCATGGAAACTCAGTGGGAGAGTGGAACTGGTAAAACCAGTTGTCCTTAAATATCCCACTTACCTTGAAAGTCCTGATGAGGTTGATATCCGTCAGCTCCGAACTGACAGCATGGAGCAACAACAATTTGCATCATTGGCTCTTTTTGATTCAGAGATTTCAGCCCCTTGATGTTTTGCCCAACATTTTGGTCTTGAGTGAGAATTCTTGGTCTTCCTAACTAATACGATTGACATGAAATTCCAATATTAATGTCAATATTGGAAGGACAACAATGCCTTCTGCTTGCAGGAGGTGCCTTTGGAAACCTATCAGGACGTGGGAATTTTTGGTCTTTTTTCTTGCTTTAATGGAAGTGACATGGACATCATTAGGGCTTGGTGATCGTAGAGCGAGAAAGCTGCTGGGAAGTGATGGTTCTATCATCTGTCCAGGAATTCCAGTTGCCTAATCCTTAGTGGGTTGGAAGACAGGTTATGATTGTATGACTATCATTTCATGACGAAATCAAGGGTAGAGATGGGCATGAACTAGTTCATCGTAGTTCACAAAAGCAGCGGCATGGGTGCTGCTCCTCTCCTCCTGCACATCCTCTGGCTCAATCAGCCACTCATCAGGCCCAGCATGTTAGCTTTCTCCACCTTCTCAACTGCTCGTCCTTTCCTGGAAACAGTTCAGGCTCCTTTGCCTCGCCCTCTTGGCTGATCTGGCAGAGAAGTCTGTGCTGTTGCTTGTGAGTCGGGGATTAGCTGAGGAAATGGAAAAAACAAGCAATCCAGGCCTGGTAGGTGGCCGCTCCGCTGATGAGGCAGAGGGCAGCCTTTACAAACCAGCAGGAACCAGAACGGATGAACCAGTTTGTGCCCATCTCTAATCAATGGTTAAAGTATACATTACAAATATCCCATTGCTGAAATTCTTCAAGGGCTGAAAGATGTCTGATTGTCATAGACAATCAATGTATCCCATACGTTGTTATAGATATATGTTGATTGTCATAGACAATCAACGTATCCCATAATCTGCAGATTGGCTTGCTTTGCTTTGTAATTTGCCAGTGAGGGAGTGAACCCATTTGCACATTGCACATATTTATTATTATTTATTTAAAGTATTTTTACCCAGCCTTTCTCCTTAAAGAAACCAGGTCTGCTTGAATCACATCTCTGAAAGACTAATGCAGTATCACCTTCTAACGATGTGCTATCTGTTATGTATGAACTAAGCCCATTGTCATCGAGTTGACATGGCCAACATGAAACTCCAACATTAATGTCCATATTAAATTGATACCCAGCTACCCAGTCCCTGACTGATGGGTGTCCAAACTCTTGTTAATAACCACACAGGGAAGAAGAATCCATACCTCTTGGTGAACTTTGCCCTGCTTTGAGTAGCTCTTACTGTTAGGAAGTTCCTCCTCATGCATGGCTGAAATCTACACCATTGCAAATTCCCACCAGTTGGTCCCTTCCCTCCCCTTTGAATCAAGAAAAAATTAAATCTGCTCCATTTATTGCATGAGAGATATTCAAAGAGTGATATCCTGCCTCCATTTTATCTTTAAAAAAGAGAGAGAGAAAAAGAACTCAGCCAGCACTAAAAGTGGAAAGATATAGGACTCCTGGTGCAAAATACTCAGCCTTGGGGACAGTATAATTATGACACATATTTTGGGAGACATACCGCCTCTCCCACCTCACGCTCTCATCTGCTTCAATGACCACAGTTCATGGGTTCACTTGCCTCAAGGTAGAACCCCTCAGGCCTTCTTCCCGTTTTATTAAGAAGTGCAACCTTCCGACTGACACTTTGGATTTCATCTGATGGCAAATATATCGACATTCAGGAGCACTACCTAGAAAGCCCAGCTCACCCAGTGCTTGACAAATGCCAAGCACACTGTTGAGAATGCAGCCGCTGACCAATTCAGACATGATTAGCTCCCAGCCCTTGAAGTAGATATGCAGTTTTATATATATATTGTAAAGTCCTTCCTCAACACAGGTCAGTGGGGATAAAATCTGGCATAATTCGATCATTTGCAGAATTTGGTTTGCCTTTGGCAATTAAGGCTTGCTGAGGAGAAGGATGTGTACTTTCTGAGCCCATGCATGTAGGTGCTGAGGCCAGTCTACCACTTTGCTGGGACTTCAGATGTTGGTCTGTGGTGAGCTTGATTCAATGTGTGTCCTGCACCTGAAATGATTTGGAAGGTCCCATTGATAGCTTTCCAGATTTGTATTGGAAAGGCAAAATGGCTGCTAACGATATGGAGACTTCACTGAAACTTCAGAGAAGTGTAAATGTGCCAAATTTCACATACTGTAGTTTGTTGTGTTCTCTGCCGCTCAGTGGCTGAAATGAAATCCTGGCCTCATTAGGTGCAACTGGGGGTTGTGAGCCTCGTTTCTCCTTTGGCAGGAAGCTGGACTTGATGACTCCTGGAATGACTTCCAGGCCTAGTATTATATGAGTCTATGACCCTAAATGATTGTCCTCAAGAAGGAAATACCACATGCCAACTGCTGTTCTGCTCTCTGAACAGCTCATGTTGGTTGGGGAGGTTCTGTAGTGTGAACAAGTCGAATTTATGAGCTCTGCTTGCTTGTTACTAAAAAAGACAAAATTTCCAGTCCCATTCCTTCCTTCCTTGACACGTGGCATGCTATGGAAAGTGATTTCTCAACATAGCAGGACAGAACTAGGAAGTTGGAGAAACATCCTGGGAAAACCGTAGAGATACTCTTCAAATCAAGCATTTTTTACAAAATGGGTTCTCTTACCTCTTTGGATATTTTTATTTGGAAAGCTACCATGCTGTGCAAGAGGCTTGCCCTCTTGTTTGGGCCCATGTGCATTCCCAAAATTCCCAGTCAGTTCTTAAATTACTCCCATACAAAATGTGGCTCGGAATACAACTTCCATGGCTTTCCCCTCATGGCACATTCGTCAAACTGAAGTACGTACTGCAGCCAAAACTCTTGCTCACCAACCAGGTTGAAAACCGGATAGTTGCTCAAGGTTGACTCAGCTTTTCATCCTTCTGAGGTCATTGACTACCCAAGCTCATGGGTGGGGGCAGAGGGGGAAATGTGTAGCCTGCATAATTAAAAAACAAAACTGTAAACCACCCCAAGAGAGCTTTAAGTGCTATGGGGCTGTGTCTTAAGAAACACACTTTGCTTTTTTTGGTCTTTCTTTCAAATCAGTTTGGAGGACTGTAGGTTCCTGTTGCTTGAACTATATTGGTCTAACGGAGTCAAAATGCTAGAATGTCTAATTGGTTCCTGCGTTGCCAGGTAATGGGTCAGATAACCTTTATGCATAACCCTACCCCCTTCCTGCAATCTTTATTTCCTGTGAAATTGTTTCTCATCTTGCCATCAACAGGGCCAAATAACACAAATGCTCAATTTTAACTTTCTGATAAGCATGCCACTGTTATCAGGTGGCAATTTAATTGTATTGGCCGGGATCCACTGTCTGTATCAGCACCCAGCTGCCAGGCTATTAGCACAGATAGCTCGCCCCCTTGCACTGTGAACGTGGATAGTAATTCTCTGCGCAGCCAACTTGCACTAGTTGAGGCTGGAGTTTATATGCTGACTCCTTGCCAGTAATTGCTTTTGTGTTATCAGTTTATTAAAGATCCCATTCCATGAATAAAGGGATAGTGGAGGTTGGTGTTTTTTTAAAAATGGGTGTGGGATTCAGAAAGTTTTAAACAAGAAGTTACGTGCAGATGTGTGCATTTCGCATAAGGACTGCTTCCCATAGATACATACAGGGTTGCACATGGATAGGGGTTTTCCCAGAGGTCTATAGGGTTGATGGATGTCATTTTCAGGTCCAGCAAAGACTATGCAGTGTCCAGTGATCCCCCCCAACTTGATTTTTGAGTGCAAGAGTGTTGCCACATTACAGTCATCTGTACTCTTCCTAATGACTGCCCATTTTATCCCTTGTTCAGAATTTCCTTTATTTTTCCTTGTTAAGAAGCACTACACTTCTAGAGGCCTTACAAGACAAGACAGTAATTCTGTATCTAGAAGCAGTGCGTTCTTCAGGGAAAGGCTGTCTGCCGAGTAGTCGGACTTGCAAATGAAGTCCATACTTACCTCCCAGTGACCAATCACAAAACAAAAGAAGCTAATTTGCAAATTTTATAAGTGACAGAAGCTCCCACGCTAATTTGTAAATTCTATAAGGTAACAGAAGCTCCCACTGTGAAACGTATGCACACTTATTATCCCTTAAAGTTTTCCTTTTTGTTGATAAGCTACACGTAATGTCTGTTTTGGCCTGCAGAACCTGGCATTAAAATATTTGCATTGCTTGTATCAGATGCAAGCAGAAGGGAAATGTTTTTCTCTTAGCATTTGAGTGGAACCTGTGTCTACCACTTTCACAGACATCTTGAATGAATACACACGCACACGCACATGCACATGCATACGCATGTGCGTGCGCGTACACACACACACACACACACAAAGCCTGTGTAAAAAAACCCTGTGCTTTCCAGGAATCCAGGTATACACACTATATTAGACAATCAATTCCCACTGCATTTATGAAGTCTTGATTGCACCAAATTATGCACTGCAAGTATATAAAACTGTTTTAACTGCCCTGCTGGGTATACGGCCAACTGGATACCTGAGATGAAATACTTAGGACACGTAACAGGGTATATAGCATGGCCGTTAACTGAGAGCAAACTGACACTTTTGCTCAATAGATCAGACAGAAAGTTTTTTTAAAATGGTGCCACCGAGCAAGAGGAAATGTGGAACGTCATATTTCAGCTGTCCTTTTGATACCAGCATTTACAGCAGGAGTAACAGGCATGGAGTTTGCAGCAGCCTGTACACCACCGTCAGGGGATCATGTCTACATCTGGAGACAAAAACAGGACATGGATTTTAAACCACAGAACAAACCACAAAGGATGAAGAGTGAAATACTTGTGATGAGTGACAAGGACCCTCCCTGCCCAAGGATCTTGAAATATGGTTGTTGTAGTTTTTTCGGGCTGTTTGGCCATGTTCTGAAGGTTGTTCTTCCTAACGTTTCGCCAGTCTTTGTGGCCGGCATCTTCAGAGGACAGGAGTCAGAACTCTGTCTGTGCTCTGGATCTTGAACTAGTTCCTAGAAGGAATCAGTGCTTCCAAAAGCTAACGGGAGGAACCAGACTTGTTTACAGCAGGGACCAATATAAACATGCTTCATACAGCCTTTTGTGGAGTTTGGAAGAAGGTCTTCTTGGATAACAAATCCCCAAATCCCCAAGTGGCAAATTGGTGGCCATGCTCATGATGGGATTCTAGGACATGGTGCAGTCAAGACAGCAAATACTTAGACCATAAGCTAGTTTTTGGATAACAACTCCCAGAAATTTCCAGCCAGCATGGCTGCTGTCGTTTGGCATTCTGAGGTCAAAATCCTCTTCTTCTGCGTGCAGAATTGTAATCACAGATGACATGCCAACTGATGGAGGCTAATTAATGAGGTGCCAGTTATGTGCCTTGTTGCACAACTGAGCATGTGACCAGCATATTGTTAACTAGCCTCCATTAGCTGCTACAGTTTCCATGATAGTGCTATTGCACATGGAAAAAGTCATAGGATTTTGATCCAACTGTTGTAGCTCAAAAAAAAAAAATCAGTTGCACACTTTCCAAACTCTGTATTCTTGAAGGCTTTCACGGCCGGGATAGTTGAATATTTATACTCACCCAATCTCCTGAAAAGGATAAAAAGCTGATCCCACAGGTATAAATACTCAACTATCCCACAAACTGCACCAGAGCACAGACAGAGTTCTGACCGCTGTCCTCTGAAAATGCCGGCCACAGAGACTGGAGAAACATTAGGAAGAAAAACCTCAAGAACACAGCCAAACAGCCTGAAAAACCTACAGTACAACTTTCCAGATTCTGTCTGAAGTTATTGGAAAATATTTTATGCATGCATAAGGACAGGAATGCTGTCTTATTTCTACTGTTTCCCCACTTGGCTAATTTTGTCCCTTTGTTCACATTACCATAGACTTTCGAGACTGAAGGATGCCTAAATCTCAGTGGTTCCCAACCTGGGCCACCCCATATGTTCTTGGATTACGACTCCCAGGAATCCTGGCCACAACAGCTAGTGGTGAAGGCTTCTGGAAGTTTCAGTCCAGGAGCATCTAGGAACCTAAGGTTGGGAGCCAATGTCTAGATGTCCCCCTTCCCCTTAATAAGGGCTCCTTGGGAGACCCAAGATCTTGATGGAGGAAGAAGGAAGAATAACTCTGCTTGGGCCTCTCCAGATCCTTCCCGTTGTCTTGTCCCAAATTCAACCAGGATTTACCTCTTAAGATTTCATCATAGCATCCTGAAGGGAGACAGCCACCGGCAGGACCAGGTTCTCCAGGCTGACCCCTCATTCCAGGAAACCCAGGGGAGCCTGTGCTTCCGGGGGCTCCCTTTGCACCTTGCTTGCCGAGCACCTCTTCCCCTGTGGGACCTGGGGGGTGGAAACATCAGAAAGACAACGCTAGGTTGACCATTGGCTTTGGCCCCTGATTAAATGCTTGGAAGAAAGAGAAGGAACTGCTTCATTGAAAAATGGGGGAAATCATCTTTTAAAAGTGCAACTCTGAATATAACAGCAAAGCATGGCTATGGCCATTGTGGCTGTGGGACTCGAAGAGCTGGATTCCCCAAAAATTATCTTTTCTCATCTTAGCTCTAAGCTCATGTATTCACCTAGTATGAAATGGCAATAATATAAGAATATAATATGCTTCTTTATACAGAGTCAGATTAGAACAGTTGCCAGTGACAGGCAGCAGTTTCCCATGTTTCCAGGCAGGTTTTGTTTTTCAAAGCCCAACTTGGAGATGGATGGAATTGAACCTGAGACCTTCCGGATGCAAATCAAAGGCTCCACCACTGGCTATGACTTTGCAGAAGAGTGAGGCTAGCCCTGTCTCGTCCTCCACCCTCTTCCATGTGCACCAAGCTATCCATGTGAGTGGCTGGTCAGGAGGAATCCAAGCTCATCTGAACTCTAGCTCTTCCTGTTTGAGAAGGAAGCATCCTACAGGCTTGGCTTCCACATGTTCAGGGGCTCACACACATTTCAGATGCTCAGTCCTCCCCAGAAGCAACAACTCAGTGATAAAGCAAATGTTTTGAATAACTAAGAGCAGTTCCCAAACTTTTTGGCATTGTGGGCCTTTGTTGACATTTTTTGAGAAGACATTATCAATCATGCCTCCCCCTATCTCTTTTATCATCACTTCAATGCCCTTCTAGCAAAGAAATCAATTCATAATTTGAAATTTAAAATAAACACAAACATATAATAATAATGTGATTTAAATTTAAAATTTAAGCTGGAAATAAAATATTTCTTTATGGACATCTTACGGTCTTCCATCCTGAACATCTTCACTTTTACCCCAATGGGGCATGTGTGGCTTATTTGTAGCACCCTGACCCCTGTGGTTTCCCCAAATGTAGGAACTCCAACTTTATAACTTGTGGACTGCCAACTATGAGTCAGTTTTCCCACATTCAAGGAAACTCCAAAGATCAGCACATACAGGGTGCAATGGATGCTTCTTACCATCTAATGGAATTGAGTTACAACTGTGGGTTTGTTTTTACCATTTATTACTTCCAAAGTCTGGGAAGAAAACTGCCTGGAACCCTGCAGAGCCCCTCCACTCAGCACTAACAAGGCTGATCTAAATACACCAGAGCTTTCTTGGACTGCAAGCCCACAATCTCTGAATCTGGGAAGTTCTGAGAGACATAGACTGAAGAATGGGTTAAAATTCTGAGATAGACCAAAGGCGCACAGTACTTCATATGTGAGCAACTGCCTTGCATACAAGAAGCTGCCTGATACTACATCCAATTCTAAGCCCACAGCTGTCTACTCCTGCGCTTCCAAATCTTGGGTAACTCATGTGTTCTTGGACTGGAACTCCCAGAAACGCCGGCCAGCAAAACTAGTACTGGATGCTTATGGGAGTTGCAGTCTAAGAACATCTAGGTTACCCAAGGTTGGGGACCTATTAGTCTACTCCAACCAGCAGCATCTCAGGAGAGGCCTTTCCCATTGCTTGCCAGGCCTATGCACCACAAATTTGCCTAGTTAATTGTATGCTTTTTCACAGACCGGAGCTATCCAACCACATCTGTGGAGAACCAAGGGCCCTATTGGTGGTGATCACATCCTCCCACCCCAGATTTGAGATCTGTTTGCTCATTTGGGGCAACCCATAATTTAATCTGGCAAGGAGGCTGGTCGTGATTGTCTCCCTCTTTCCCTCCTATTGTCACTGCTGGTTTTTGGCCAACGAAAATGTCACTTGTCAAATAGGTTGGTCAACGAAATGAAAAAAAAAACCCACACAGGTGAATCCCTCAAGAAATCCGTGAGTTTTTGTTTGTTTGTTTGAGAAAGAGAAGGAATAATGAATCTTTATTCTCTTCCTTCACACCAACAATGCATTGGCTTTTACCTGCTCGACCCCTAGCTCCTTGAGGGCCTTCTTCATTTGGTCCGGCAACACCTTTCTCCCCCTTGGGTCCAGGGGCACCTGATGGACGAGAAAGGTAAAATCCCTTAGCATTAAATAGGTCTTTCTCCCAGAGAAGGAGGCATTAGATTCCAGCCTTAATGGTTATGAAAACTGGAAATCTCTTCTCTAGTGCGTCTACTTTCTAACCTTCCATCAGACCCTCTGGGATTTACTTCCAAAGGTTACACCTAGGTAAGGAACACACACACAAAATCATGAATTTAGAACCAAATTGCTCTTGTTGTCAGCATGTGCTGTCAAGTTGCATGCCCAGTAGGGCCTTCAAGCAATTTGAAATATTTAAGGAACCGTTTTCCAAGCCATAACTAGTAATTTTGGTACTTGGAAGAAACCAAATTCTCTGCCCTCCTCTCCACCCTAAAGTATAAACAGGATGTTTATGCTGTAAAAAAAACATGGGCAGGATTGGGGAGGATGGCCATTTATTCTCCTGATTTGCTTCTCGATTTCAGTGACCTCCAAATTTTGTTGCTCCTGGTCAAAGCCGCGGTTACCCTTCCCTATTTAAAGCCCTGGCCATTTTGCCACTGGCATCCCCCATTTTCAGCAAAACAAAGACATGCAATTTGTTCAAATCTCCATCCCTCACACCATTCCCTTGCTAAAAAGAGAGCAACAGTTATAAAGTGTATATTTTTCCCCTGTCCCACTGCCAAGGGGGGCACTCAATCACAGCAGTCCTGAAAGCATTTGGAAGAACAGAGTTCTGGGGAAAACGCCGTCTCATATGAGAATGGGATCCCAAGACAATTTTCCCCCCTTGAAAGGATTTATGGTCTTCCTCATTGGATCTGGGATATATTCTTGGAGATGATGATTCTTCTTAAACTTCATTTCCCCTAACCTGAATCCAAACTGTGAAGTGTATTTATTTATTTATTGTTAATTAAAATATTTTTACCCCGCCTTTCTCCTCAAAAGCACCCGAGACGGCTTACAACAATTAAAAGACAGCATTTTAAAGGTAAAAACAGTGAGTATACAAATATTAAAAACAAATTAAACAAGTATTACATTAAAAAGGTCAATAAAATCAATTCTAAAAACACACTGAAAGTAACAAAGCATTACAATCCATTAAAAGAAAGAAAGAAACCTTACTATTCAAACTGTTTCACATGGTTCGAGAAATCATCACCACACTGATGATGATGACATACATCCAGCTATGCATGCAACACAGGCAGGATGTGAAGACACCTGCTTACATGGGCCAATCTCTAATCAGAACATGCAGTTCTTTTAAGATGGCTTTTAAGTTCTTTTAAGATGGTGATTTTGCAATACCAAAGCCTGATGCTATAAAATCACCCTGTGGGCTCCCTCCAGTTTATTATCCACGTTGAAGCCCTTAAATCTTTCTCACCCATGTCTTATTTATTTAAAATATTTCTACTCCATCTTTCTCCTTAAAAGGACCCAAGGTGGCTTACATCTTTAAAAGACAATATAAACTGCATTCGGTTCCACATCGACTTCAAAGTTTTAATGCTTACTTATAAGGCCCTAAACGGTTTAGGACCTCAATATTTGGCGGAACGCCTACTCCCACCAAGCTCTACCCTGATCACCCGTGTGAGTCAGAAGGTGAGGCTGAGGAGCCTGACGCCGAGGGAGGCCCGTAAGGAAAAGACACGAAATCGGGCCTTCTCAGCGGTGGCTCCTCGCCTTTGGAACAACTTCCCTCTGGAGATTCACACAGCCCCCACGCTGGGTACCTTTAAAAGCCAATTAAAAACATTGGATGTATATTCAGGCCTTCCCTCCTGTCAGTACTTGATTTTTCTTTATTCTTTTTAATTTATTTCTTACTTCATTTTGTATTGTAATTTGTTATTGGATATTTTATGTAGTATTCTTGGGTTTTATTGTTTCTATGTTATGTTGTAAGCCGCCTAGAGTGGTCATATAGACCAGATGGGTGGGGTATAAATCAAATCAAATCAAATCAAATAATCAATCAATCAATCAATCAATCAATCAATCAATCAATCAATCAATCAATCAATAAAAGCTAACAACAGTGAGTATACAAATACTTAAAAGGATCACACAAATACCACACAAAAAGCATAAGCAACCCCAAAACACATTCAAAGCAGTGAGGTATAACAATCCATTAAAAAAAAATCCACTCGGGCAGCCCAGTCATTGAGGGGAAAGCTTGCCTGAAAAGAAAGCTCTTTGCCTGCTTGCAGAAGGACAGCAAAAATGGGGCCTCTTGTGGGAGGGAGTTCCAAAGTCTAGGAACAGCAACAGAGAAGGCCCTCCGTTTGGTTTCCTGCACCTTTGATTCCTCCATATGCAACAGTTTAACGGTTAACTTTCGACAGAAACAGCTCTAATTTCCATTTTGCAATTTAACAGAGGAAATCCGAAGGCTCTTCTTTCTACTGGACATGTTCCTTCTTAAAGGAGTCAATCTTCGAGATCAAGGATGGTTTATTAAGTTCCGCTCTGACAAGCTGTCAGTCGGGTTTCACCATCTTTCTCTCAAGAACCGGACTATAGGACCACGGAAGGCAAACTAGAGAGGCCGGCTCTGCCCCAAACGAAGCTTAGCCAGGGAACCGTCCTCTAGGGTCCTCAATATAATCAGTTGTATCTGCAAGCAACTGCAGAGGCCACTCTAATTTCGGAGTGGGGAAAGAGGAAGGAAAATGGTTGACAGATCCAGGTTGGTATGCGAATCTGCTCCCTGTAGCCTGCCAATTAAAAATTCAACTTTGACCCTTAGTTATAACGAGACAGCGGCTGTCACCAAAGGAAGAAGCCGAAATTTTCCGTCTTTGCTCCTGGAGAGCTTTCTCTTCCTCTCCGTTGGGCTAAATAAACCCCACTCCCTTCCGCTCTAACAATGTAGCTTGCACCGTTCTGGAGCAGCGTCTAAAAGGAGGGAGGGGGGGAGGAAGGTCCTTGAACAGATGGAGGCTTAATCCTTGCATTAAAACCAAAAGAGCTGCCAGAATGACTTGGCATTTGCAGTAAAACAAAGAACGGCGTTGATGCCTCTTCCTCACAGATCAGGACAGCTTTTAGCTCTGGGCCAATAGGGCAGGGAGATAAGCCAGTTATTTTATCTCAAGCTCAGAAGAGAGCCGGTCCAAAAATAAAACTAGCCATTACGTGTACGCCTGCCTGCCTACTGTGTTGTCTGATAAGCTTCTTTGGCTGTCACATGGCTTTGCGAGGTTGGAAAAACTACTGGTCCAGACATGCCGCCATCTTTTCCCAGGCCCAACACAGTCCCCAAATTTGATTCTTCATGGCTCAGAAGGTGACGACTTTGATTTCCCCTTCTTCGTCCTGGGGTTGGACACCGTCTGCCTACAACATGCTATGTGCATGTGCGTTCAACCCTCAAACCTGATCCTTTCTAAGAAGTTACAGTGGGTGGTAGAAACGCAATGTCACTATACCCCATCATGACGTAGAAACGCAATGTCACTATACCCCATTGGCCGATAGGAGCCAACACTTGTGGATACCTATAGCAAGGGTCATCTAGAGCAGTGGTTCCCAACTTCAGATCTCCAGGTCTTCTTGGACTGCAACTCCCAGAAGCTTTCACCACTATCTGTGCTGGCCAGGATTTCTGGGAGTTGTAGTCAAAGAGCACTGGGGACTCAGGTCTGGGAACCAGTGGTTTAGAACTGCCATTCTCAGTGGGAACCATGTGGCCCCTGGGGGGGGCCCTGGCACCTTTGAAGGGGGCCATAGACTGGAAACAGCTCTTCACACACCATCTTATAAGGTTTGTTACGCGACTTACACAATCCTGATGCAGCCTATGTTTCTTTCACGTTGCATTTATGGTCATGGCCCCCAAAAAAGGTCGAGAATGACTCGTTTAGAGCATTCCTCTTGTTTTCCTGTCTGCGACATCTTCTCCTTGATCCTGCTGTAAGAGACAAGCATTATGAGCCAAACTGAGAATATGTTTCCGAGCTTCGAAACATATGGCTCAAATGGCTCAAAATGCCTGCTCAGCATTTGACCACATTTGTGCTGAATTTTGCTTTAGGAGCACATAGCAAGGTTTCTCTTCGTACCTCTTTCTCCTGGATATCCGTCTCGGCCAGGCTGCCCAGGCATTCCAACCTCTCCTCTTTCCCCTTTCATGCCGGGGGGGCCGGGGAGACCAGGTGGCCCAGGTTCTCCTGCCTTCACCTTCTCCTCCCAAATGGGAACCGGCTTTTGCGAATGTTCGTGGATGAACGAGTCAAACTTTAACACGTGAGCTGAAGTAGGGAAGGGTTGTGGAGAGGAAAAAGGAAATGGATCCCTTGGGATTATAATCATCTCCGTTTCCTAGACTCATAGCAGAACAATTCATATACAGTACGTTGGCACCACACGTATCAGTGTAGAAACATCCAAGAGCTTGGAAATTGGATTTGTTATGTACGCTTCTCCCTTGAATGGCATGGGTCTGGACAGCATGGCTTTAGTTATGCACAGATTAATTTATTTACTTAAATAAATAAATAAATATTCCGATAAATAAACATTCAATAAATACTGTACCCTTGGCCACCTAAAACCCCAGGAGTTCAACACGGAAGGCATCAGAGTGGTCTACTTACACTTTAAAAACATCATCTCTAATTCAGTCTCTAGATCAGGGGGTCACAAAGACCTTTAAGGTCCATTACACTTGGTACTATATGGAAAGGATTGTCAATGCTATGAAAGAAATCCCCGATAGAGAGAACTGCCCCCCCCCATGTGTGTGTGTGTCTGTGTCTGTGTGTGAATCAACTGTTTAGACTTGGTAGTTACATTTGAGGGGGCATAGGAGTTATATACAGATTTTGAACCACATAGGGGTCTGGTTCCCATACCCCAGCATTGCTAAAGGGAGAAGTATAGTTCAAAAACAGGCAACTGTCCAAGCTCTGATAAATCCCTATAATTTATTAACAATAGGGTATTATGGCTATATCAGAGGAACTGCAAAGCTCACAGTTAATGGTGGACCTCCATTTTTGGGCCTCTGAAACTTGAACTGTTACGGGAGCCCCTTTGCAACCAACGAGCTCTTGATAACTACTGTTATCTTCTTCAATGGGGTTGTTCCAAGACAAATCACCATCCCTGCTCACACTGTACTGGGGAGAAGCTAAACAGTAGCTGAAATCCTATTCCTTAGTACAGGAAGTTGCAACTAAAGTAAGTCCACTGAATCAATGGCATGGCAGAGTTGACTCACCAACTCCTCACTGATTCAATAGGCCTGCTCTAGTTGTATCTTACTATTTATTTGTTTGTTTGTTTGTTTGTTGTATTTATTTATTGTATTTATACCCCGCCTATCTAGTCATTTCGACCACTCTAGGCGGCTACTACACGAAGCAACAGGATTTCAGCCACTGATGACTGTGCTAGGAAACGAGTAAGCTGCTCAAGAGAGTTGTACTTACACTGGATCAGACGTTCACAAGCCTGATTAACTAGGTGATAGATTGTAGCCAAGGATTGTGCTTCACCCTGAGGGAAAAGCAGGCGAGGATGGAAGAAAAAAGGGTTAGAAAATCAAGACACAAGGAGCAGCTTGGAGACAGGAACAAATGGCTTAACTCAGCTACTGAATCAGGAAGCAGGGGACGTGAACAGGATGAGTATTTTTCTTTATTGCTTATAGTTTAAAGAAGCAGCTAAAAGGCTATGAGTTCAACAACCACAGAGAAAGAAAGTGAATACAGTGGTGCCTCGCATGACGACGCTAATTTGTTCCGCAAAAATTGCTGTCCAACGAAAACGTCGTCATACGATTTTTAAAAGCCCATAGAAATACATTAAAACCCAATTAATGCGTTCCTATGGGCTTAAAACTCACTATCCAGAGAAGATTCTCCATAGCGCGGCCATTTTCGCTGCCCGTACAGCGAGGAATCCGTGCCAGAAAACAGCGGGTGGCCATATTTTTCACCTGGTGGCCATTTTGAAACCGCCGATCAGCTGGCCGAAAATCGTCGCTTTGCGATGATCGGTTATTGAAACAGGGAACCAATCATCGCAAAGCAAAATTCCCCCATAGGGAACATCGTTTTGCAATCGCAAAATCTTCAACGTAATGCGATTTTGTCATCAAACGGAGCACTCGTAAAGCGAGGCACCATTGTATACGCATATGTTTATGTGATCTTTGTGTAATGGCAAACTGAAGACCATTAAAAGAAAGAGGAGACAGGAGTGACACACCCCAATAAATAAATTATCATCCTCATTTGCCACAATTCTGACTTATGGCAACCCTTTTCGGGCACTTCCAGGTAGAAAATACTCAAAAGTAGTTTACCCTTCCCTTTTTCTGGGAGTATCCCTGGGACTGTGCAGCTTGCCCAAGGCCACCTAGGCTGGCTCTTCCCACAGGAGGCACAGTGGGGGAATTGAACTCCCAACCTCTGGTTCCACAGCTAGTAACTTAAACCACTGAGCTATTCGTTATCCTCCATAAATTTTGAAGTCTACAATCCAGAGATGACTACATCACAACCTCCCTCAGCATCTGGGGTACCTTAGCAGCCAGATGTGTTGGCCTCTAGCTCCCATCCTCTCGCCTCATGGCCGACACATCTGGAAGGCTGCTAATAGTGCATACTGTTTCCAACATCTGCATCTGTTCTTTTTGCAAGCCGGACATCCATAACAGCGCTCTCTCTTTCTCTCAGGGAGTGAAGTCATGCTTCTCTGCGGATTGTTGCTACTCGTTTTAATGCACTCTGACTTGGTTGAGACCTTCAACTCTCAGACTGGCCACATCTTGCCTAGGACATGTAAGGTTTGCAAACAGCTAATGGAGGAGGTGCCGGCACACATTTCAGTTGCACAAGCGCATACAGGACCAGATACACAACTGGGATGTGCTGAAGGACCTCATCAGTTAATCACAATGATCTGTGGCAAGTTACACAAATCTTATGTGAAGAGCAGTACAAACTCTGGCCATCCTCTTTATGAGAAGTTGGACTAGGCAGCTTGCCTGTCAGCAGTGAATATTTCATATGCATCTCTCTCTCTCTTTTTTTTTTTGAAAAACAACATTTTTTGAAAAACATTATTTATTTGTCTCTTTCCATGTGATTGTGGGCTCACAGGAGGTATTAATTTTAAACAGCAATAATTCCCTTTCTCAAGCTGCTGTAACCTTATTTTACTAACTAAAGCAACAATAAATCTAAATACAATTACAACTGCACATGGATCCTGAAGCAACTCCAGAGCAAAGTTCGGATGCTTAAAATGCATAGGGACAAACATGGCTATTGAAATGTATATGTTTTTAAATCTTTAATGATTTCTATTGTGATTTTCTGTTGCTGCTTAAGAACCAGACTCCATTTCCAGTGGCGTCTATTCATCTTTCTCTATGCAAACATCCCATGCGCACTTATGCGTGTGCACGCTGACCCATATATATCTCGTGGCAGATAATAAAGTCATCAAAATGCTGACTACAACGGTGAAAATAAACATTGCTATTACCCATAAAAGCTCATAACTGATTGGGGAGAGGACTCCGTATGTCTTTTTGATGACACTGTCTGGATCGATCGGCAGTCTTTACATGAAATTAAACAAAACCCAGGCAGGGGTCCCAGGAAATAAAAATGAAAAATGTGATTGCATCTCAAAAAAGAAAGAAAGAAAGAAAAGAAAAAGAGTAAAAAAGGAAAACCAAATGGGAATCAAATTTAACAGAATGGCTTTTCCCTTCTCTTTTAAAGGAAAAAAAGAAAAGTAGAAAAATCAAATGTCTATATATAATATAATCTTAGAACTACAGAACTGGAAGGGACCCAATGGATCATCAAGTCCAGACCCTTGATGTCAGGGACGCACAGTGGGGAATTGAACTGCCAACCTCTATACCCATAAGCCTAAACCACTGAGTTATCCAGCATTTGATACAAGACTGATCCTGTTTCTGAAGAAGGAATCCAGCAAAAGCTTAACACCCATCAGCCAAAATAACCTCCAGATATGGTGGACTACAACCCCCATAATCCTTGCTGGCTGGGGACAATTGGCATGATAGTCCAACACATATGCTTTCATAGAATCCCAACTCTTGCGCCAGATTTGCCTTTACAGAGATAGAAACATATCCTGGAGCCCATATTAAGGGGATTAGAGAATGGCCCTGAAGGAAAAGCTTGATTCTTCTTCTGAGAACTTCTTCCAGAATTGAAGTCAGTTGATGCTTGTATGGGTTGGAGGAATGCTAGATGTTCCACGAAAGTATCCCATAGGCTCGTACTGTTTGCTGAGCCATCACCAATTCCATGGCACCATCATTAACACTCTCTATTTTGGTACCCCAGCATGCAGCCAACTGATCATTGTAAAGCCAGTTCAGAGTGAGGGCAAGAAGTAATCCCGCTTATTCCCACTCTAGCATCTTCTGATTCAGAAATGTCAGGCAAAAGAGGGTGGGTCCAACAACAGTGGGAACTGGGTCAGACTCTGCTCATGGTCTCAGATAAGTATAACGCCCCCTTCCCAACTTGGCAGGATGTGAAGAGGGAGGTAAAATTGGTACTAGTCTGCATCAATAATAATGAGGACACTTCCAGATGCATGCGTTCAAGATCCCAGGATGGGCAAACGGTGGAAATGGATCACGTTATCTTTCGCTAAACATGCAAAATAAATAAATATAAATATCGAGCAAGGCAATTACATTCTTTTTCATCATTGCTACTCCCGATACACCACAAGCTATGGTCCCTACACTGGTTTTAGCCTACCCTGCTTTATGAATTCTAGCTAACAAAACCAACAAAACATCAAAAGCAAAAAACAAAGAGACTCACTTTCTCTCCCCGTTCTCCTTTTGGACCAGGCAGTCCCTGTGAACAAAACAGGAAAAAGAAATCAACTTATTTTTCTTTGCCTCCGAGGCTGTGAACAAAAACGAAACAGTCGCTCTATAGCAGCGGCCTCACAGTTCCACCGTGGTCTGCCTGCGTGTTTCTCGGGGGGAAAACCTGGAAACCTCAATTAGACCCCTGCCAGTGGATGTCAAAGTGAGGGGGCAACCTTTCTGATAATGCCTTTAATGGGTTGTTTCCTCTCCTAAGTGAAAAACCAACAATTTTTCCCCCCAGAGTATGGGTGAAGGATTTCAGAAGGGGAGAATATTCGGTCAAGGGTATAACTTGTTTCCTTGTAGAACATAGTTCTACACTCACACACAAACACAAACACAAACACACACGCACACACACACACACGAACGATGCTCTTCAGGGGAAAATTAAGCCATGAGGAGGTTTCTAAGCAAATCTACTCTGCTATGGACTGGCCAGTGTTCAGACAGGTTGCTTAGGAAGTGGGGGGGAAATAAATCAGGCAGTCAACAGCTGCAGAAGTAAGCGAAATCTACCTGAAATATAAAAGTATATAGACAAAAGCCAATTGGGAACTGGAAAGTTGAGGATGGTGAAGGTCTTTGCTAAGGAAATCATAAAACCCCATAGAAACTATTTGCAGAAGAACATCTACAGGTAATAAGAACGTCCTGCACTTTCCCCCACAAACAACCTACATGTGCATGGATGTAATCAGCCTTATCGTATTCTGTACTGCTTTGGAATATCCTTGGGCATTGCTCTTTGATGTCCCCCATTGGCTGCAACAATTTTGAATAAACAACCGACTCTAAAATTGTCCCTGTTGAGTTATTACGCTGAGCCAGCTGGAAATGTACAGAATGCCACATTTTAGTTCTAGAATTGAGGGAAGGTGGGGCATAAACAGGATTTCAGTTCATAGGAGTGTCATGAGCAGAAAGCAGAGAGAAGGCCTATGTACGCTCCCCTGAGCTCACTAGAGGAAAAGCAGGCTTTAAATGCAGGCTTATGACAATGACCACGATGATATTGATAAATACGTGTATATGATTTCTGCCGGAGAGTGTTCACCAGCTTCCATTGGTCTTTGTGCAATTAACCAAAGAGTTCAGAACATCTTTTCAGCTGAGGGCCAAATTTCTTTTCAAAGATGTTTTGAGGAAGCGTATTCAAAGAGTGGAACCAAAAACAAAGGGGTGGAACCAAAAAAATATGAGCATGTAGATGTGACTAGAGGGGGATTTGTTCCTCAGTTTGGTCCAATTTGGAAAGGGCTGGTTCGCTCCTTTTCACGGCACCTCCATGATGTAAGAGTCATCCCAAACCAGCCCATCCCTGATCCAGGTCTAACTATACCTTTTTGGATCCCAGTCCGGGTTCACTATTTTTTTGGATAGGATTGCTCTGTTTTGGTTCAGTTCTACCGGGATCAAAACAAAGTGACCAGAATGGATCACTTCAGGATTCTGAGAAATTGAAAGGTTGCACAATCTAAGTGAACGGTGGATGTAAGAACATAGGATTGCTCTGTTTTGGTTCAGTTCCACCAGGATCAAAACAAAGTGTCCAGAATGGATCACTTCAGGATTCTGATAAATTGAAAGGTTGCACAATTTAAATGAACGGTGGATGTAAGAATAGCTTTTAAGAGAATCTTACCATTTTGGAAAATATGACGTAAGTATAAATTCAAATAATAAATAAATAAATATTGGCTCGTTAGGTTGCCTAAACATACAACCCCGCACCGTTCCAACAGATGGGATGAATACCAAGAGGTTAACTGACCTGGATGTATGATGACAGTGCTAATCCGACCAAAACCTTGTATGCAAAAATCAAATAGTATGGTTTTACATATCTTTGCAAAGAGGAGGGGGGAAAGGGGGAACCTTACTGTTGGTCCAATATCTCCGGGGGGACCTTTGTCCCCTTGGCTGCCCCGGACACCTGCTGCCCCTTGAAAACCCTGCAGAAAGAAGAGAAGCATCATCCTCATTGACTATGCTGGAAGATGATCACAGCCATGCCCTGAGGCTCTAACTGAAACCAATGAAATATGTTTGCCAAAGCACCACAGAGAGAATGATGCCCTCTCGGGTGAAACCAGTGCCCCACCGAGTCGAGAAAATTAAGATTAGAAGTGCATCACATATGACCATGCTCGTTTCATTTCCTATTAATGTCACCATTTGTGGGTTCAATACTAGGTCGAAACTGTATATCCAGGGAAGATGTTACGGGGTAATTTCTCCTTTCTGTTTTTAATAGCTTTATTATGGAAAGAGAAACAAACTATCACTGGCTTGCTGTGGTTTTGTTTTTAAAGACTCTTTCTTCCTCATCTACCTTTCCCTTCCTGTATCTTCTCTCTGTCTCATGAGAAGACTTCCTGGAAAAGACCCTGATGTTGGGGAAGTGCGAAGGCAAGAGGAGAAGGGGACGACAGAGGACGAGATGGATGGACAGGGTCATCGAAGCAACCAACATGACTTTGACCCAACTCCGGGAGGCAGTGGAAGACAGGAGGGCCTGGCGTGCTCTGGTCCATGGGGTCACGAAGAGTCCGACGCATCTGAGCGACTAAACAACAACAATGTTCTCTCTGTGTCTTTTGTTTCCTAAGTTTGACCTCTCCACCACCACCACCACCCATGAGTCTTTCTGCCTCTAACCGTTCTCACTCTTTCTCTCGCATAGCCTAATAAAATCTCACAGGCTTGTTGGGAGGACAAAATGGGGCGGGGGGAAGAACTATATACCCTCCCCCAGAGCTGCAGAAAATGATCAGGATAGAGGTCACGTCAAGACTCCACCACCACCACCACCCATGAGTCTTTGTGGCTCTAACCCTTCTCACTCTTTCGCATAGCCTAATAAGATCTCACAGGCTTGTTGAGAGGACAAAATGGGGGGGGGGGGGAAGAACTATATACCCTCCCCCAGAGCTGCAGAAAATGATCAGGATAGAGGTCACGTCAAGAAAGGGGCCCTGTTCCCTTATACCAAAAGTAATCTGTTATTGATGCTTTAACTGTAGTGCTTGTTCAGGATGATACCACCTACCAACCACACTTCCATTTTAGAGGGAGATGAGGAAGGGAGATGGGGGAAAAACTGAACTCTAATAAAAGGACTATTCTTTCAGTGTATTTTTCTTTTCTTTTCTTTTCTTTCTTTCTTTCTTTCTTTCTTTCTTTCTTCCTCATTCTCTCTCTCTCTCTCTCTCTCTCTCTCTCTTTGACTGTTTAGAATATCATTTAGGCCTCTGGCTGCAAAGCCAGAGGTTGGGAGTTCAATTCCCCACTGTGCCTCCTTGGGCTAGACTTAATCATCTATAAGGTCCCTTCCAGCTCTGCCGTTCTAAGACCATTATTGTATTACTTTTTGGAATGGGAACTCCCAGTATCTCCCAGTCACCGTGGCCACTAGGATGATGGGAGCTATCAGGAGGAGGAGGAGGGGAGCAGAGGGTTGTTAAATCCATCTGAAATTCTGGCCGTTGTTCAATTGTGACATTGGGTGAAATCTTGGTGCTCACCATAGTAAGTTGGGACTAGAGCAGGCCCATTGAATCAGTGGGGATTTGGTGAATGAACTCCTCTGGTGATTCAAATGGGTCTACTCTAGTGGTGACTTACTATGCCAAGCAAAAAAGGGGTTTCAACCCTTCCTGCAGCTCCCCACCTCTCTGCCACAATCTGAAACAGCACCCCTGAATTTTCCAAGGCGAGGAGGGAAAAGAGTGTAACAACAGGCAGAGCGACACATTGGTGGCACATTGATATAAAAGCTGGCTTATCGGAGGTGCCCTGGGGTCCAGGAACAGGTGGCTTCCTAGCTCTTGCCAAACAGCTGCCGAAGGTAAATGTAACATTTGTGCAATGGTAACGAAGGCATGAAGCATGCTGTTCTTTTTGCCTGTCTCTTTTCCAACCCAGGGGGAACTTGGCTCAAGCTATTTCTGGTCTCAAGGCTTTGGAGTGGAAATATTATATTTCTCAGGACTAAAATCACTCACTCTGGGTCCCGGAGGTCCTGGTGGCCCAGCTGTGCCTTCAAGTCCTCGAACGCCCTGCGGATCAAGTCAGATGGCGGAGTCAAAAGATTCAAACAGGGAGAAGATTATCTACTTGTGATCACAGAGCCCAGATTTTCAAAGTTACTTTATGACAGTCATATGGCCCACTCGAATTACAGACAAAGCCATTTACACATATTAACACAGCCAGGAAGGAGAACAAAATGATTCAGTATAATTCATTGAGCGAACCTATACGTATTTGAAATGTGGCTAAGAAAAATATCAACAACTATGGTAATAGGAGTTCTGGTCTAATAGACAAAAATATCATCAGCCACTTATCAGCATGTGTTGAAGTTTTGTTTGCAACCTCGCATGCAGTCTGTAGTTTTGTTTGCAACCTTGCATGCTGTCTGTAGTTTTGTTCGCAATCTCGCATGTGGTCTGTAGTTTTGTTTGCAAACTTGCATGCTGTCTGCTTGACTGGGAGGGACTTTGAATTAAAAAAGAGCCCCACCTCTCTGCTAGATGTTCTTTTCCCCTTTCTTTCTTGGTTAGCAAAATGTTGCTTGTTTGCTATTGATCTGTTGAGTTGGTTGCTAAATATGTGTACAGTGAAGAACATGAGAACATAAGAAGAACTCTGCTGGATGAGGCCAAGGGCCCATCTATTCTATCTTCCTATATCTCACTGTGGCCCCACCAGATGCTTCCGGGAGCACACAAGACCATGAGATCCCTGTCTCCTGACCCCCCCTCCCCTGGCATCTGGCCTCTGGGAGCACACGAGACCACGAGATCCATGTCTCCTGATCCCCCTCCCCTGGCATCTGGCCTTTGGAGGTACCTTCCTTTTAAGCCTAGAGATTGCACATCCCCATCATGGCTTGTAACCTGCGATGGACTTTTCCTCCAGGAATCTGTCCATCCCCTTTTAAAGGCATCTAGGCCAGATACATCACCAGATCCTGTGGTAGAGTTCCACAGACTAACAACACACTGGATTAAAAAAATATTTCTTCAGTCACCCCAGGCCAGAAAAGTCTCTCCCAGTCAGACAAACTACAGAAAGCAGTATATCCAAGTCTGTAATTTCAAGCAAGTGTAAGTAAAGAAATGTTTTTTTATTCTTTCTCTTACAAAGTGAATTATTGAGACTTTTTGCCAATTAATGAGAAAGAGGGTGAGGACTCTGGGAAACTTATAGCTATTCTCCTTGGGGGATCTCTGTACTTCCACTGTGTAACAAAAAGAGAATTTTACCAGAATTTCAAAATTCTGGAAAAGGATGATCATGAAAGGGAGAATTATGACTTCTCAACAATATATAAAGGTTACAGTATACAAACACATGAGATAAAGATTAAAGCAATAACTATGCGTGAACAATATCACTGTTGGTAAGAGAACTCCCAGGAATCTGCCCTATGGTGTTTCTGAGTTCAAATTATTCAGCCTAGTAAGCATAAATGTTGTCCCAGCTTGAGAGATGCTAACTGGGAAGCAGGAACCTCCTATCATTTATAGAAGGAAAGCAGGTTCTATTTGCTAGAGAATACAGCTCTTATCCACATAGCATATAATCTTTGAGAAACCACACCAAATGCTTGTTATTGTCTAAGCATTAGGACAGGTTCAAATAGAGGTGGTGGAGGTGGTAAACTGAACTAATTTTATTCTGAATGACCCTTTATTTATATAGGGGTTCTTTAGCATAAGGTACAGGTGGACAAGGAACAATGATGAAAGATGGACATGCCCCCAAATTCTATAGATCAGACTCAGGTTCTAGTTTCCCCGTAAGCTCACTCTGATTTCCAGACACATTGACAGCATATCTTAGACATTTTGGGAGACCCAAAACACGATGCAAGAAATTTGCCTGAACTTCCTCTGCAGCCTGGATAAATCCCAACGGACACCCTGTAAAAGAACTGGGCCACAAGTTTAGCTTTGTACACATGAATGGTCAAAGGGATATGATGTCAAACCTATACACAAAAATAGTGGACCACTGCCAACTTAATGCAATCTGGTAAACCAAGGGCTTGCTTATGGTCAGCTGTTCAGCTAATGACATACTGAACTTTAACCCCAAATATCTTAATTTTTAGCTTGTTCTGAAATGTTCTCCTGTTATGTCCACTGAAAACTGGTTTTTTTTGGGGGGGGGGTTATAATTTTAGATTTTGAAACTTACGGTGATTTTTATAAGGCTGGGGGAAGCCATCAACAAATACTTATTAAAAATATGACAGCATATTATGTTTAGAGTAATGATGGGACCTGATAAAGACCAGCTTTAGGGAATGACTCTCCATGAAGCCCAAAAGAGGATACAGATTGTCCATGAACAGGTTGACCAGAGACAGATCCAAAATGCAACCCAGTTTAACCCTCCTGCTTGTGGTAGCCGTAGGGGACAATTCACCCCACAGATGACAGTGGACTGAAGAACTAGGGCTTCAGAAAAGGAAGAGCAATCTCCTGTCCACAGAGGCCTTGTCTCATTTATCCCACAGTGATTACCTAGAAATAGAGTCAAAAGATCTTTCACACTTCTTTTTTTTTTAAGCTGAAAGCCATTTATTCCAAACTCAATGGCTGTATTTCAACCAATGGTCCAAAACAGATTTGTTTGGACAGAAGCCAAGTCTCCCCCATAACATTTTTGTCTTTCACCCAAACTTATGACCTATCATTTAAACACCTTGCAGGATGCTTATCCACGCTGGCTGAAATCCTGTTGGTGTAACTGCTCCTAGGGGGGAGATTTTTGGAAATGAAACATGTCCTACTTCTGTTCCACAGCTGTTCCATGTCTCCTGCGTAGTGCAGTGTCATTGTTTGGAAGCTATGGGAGCTACAGGACAGCAGGAGGTAGTCTTTAATGACTGAAGATCACTGATTTCAGGATGACATTATTGATAGTGGTGATTTTCAGTCATTGAAGAATTCTTGCTCCAAAAGTTGAACTACAGCATGTAGAAATCTCCAGAAGTGGTGATTTGATCATTAAATAGTTCCTAGTGCATCTTTGTATCATCTAGCGCACCCAAATACCCATCTTGTTTTTTAGACAACTCCTCATTGACTTCCTTCCTTCCTCCCTCCCTCCCTCCCTCCCTTCCTAGTTTTGTATTGCCTGGCTGTTTGGATGCTCTCTGGGACTCCACAGGGTCCTGCAGAATTGGTGCCAAACCACATCCTGTCAAAGCCTTTTTCATTTGCTGGAAAATAACCAGGTATGTTTTCCATTTAACAAAGGAGGAAGGTGGGCATAGGAAGCAGTGACTGAGGTGGGGGTCCCTAGAGCTGCCACCTCCCCTGATGTTTCAGGCACTTAAAAGAACGAGCATTCTTTGTATTTCCTCTGGGATTCAACCTTCTTTCAGTGATGGACTTAGAATACTGCACCTCCTGCTACGCTTTTGGATGGCCTGGAGGACAGACTAATCTATGGTGGTTCTGCTTAAAACCTCTACGTTCAGAGGCAGAATCTCAGACACTCCATGCTAGGTGATATGGACAAGCAACAAGGGAAGGGTGTTGCCTTCATGGTTTTCCTTGTGCACTTCCAATAAATGTGAGATAGTTCAAGCTTGATTTTGCTCCAGGACCCATTTGTTCAACGTCGTGGCGATTTTGCTCCAGGACCCATTTGTTCAACGTTGTGGTGGTCTAGGGTATCTGCAAAGCTCTTCTCCAGCACTACATTTCAAACAAATCCATTTTTTTCTGTGTCATCTTTCCTTACTGTCCAGCTTTCACACCCATGCATGAGTGTGGATACAAGAGTGTGGATGATCTTGGTCTTGGTCTCACACTTGTGGCTCATGTCTCACATGGACACATGGAACTACATTTAAAGTAGTTTGTCAATTTCATTTACCTTTGGTCCTTGAATCCCATCTTTCCCTGGAGCTCCCTGGGGACCCATTATACCCTGCAGGTAAACAGAGCTGTTATTCAGTGGTAATGCTCTATATTAAAGCAATGAAAAACACCTTGCTAAAATCGTACAAGTTTCTTCCATTGACACCCCCATGAAGTTAAGAAAAATCTTTTTAAAACGCTGGGACCATGTCTGCGCTGAAGGTGTGAATGGTTTAGTCCTGTTACCTCTCTAAAGTCTTCCAGACCTGCAGTGGAAACCTCCAAATTCTGGTGACTTCCCTAAGACAGTTTTGCATAGTACTGCGACAATCAGAATCACAAACCCACTACCAAAGCCAAGTTATTCCCGTAATGCGGCACCACTTCTGCTTAAGATATCATCATGACACTCAATTTAGTTGTACAAAGCTGCCATATTTGACAAGAACATGTGGAAGTAAAACTGTTTTCAATAACCACTTCTGCTTAAGATATCATCATGACATTCAATTTAATTGTACAAAGCTGCCACGTTTAGTTGTACAAAGCTGCCATTCTTGTTCCACAAGAACATGTGGAAGTAAAACTATTTTCATTCGGTATAGATACATAATATTCTACATTCCCAGTCTTTTTCAATCACAAAGATCCCTTATGAAGGGCAGGAGAAGCAACTGTGCTGTTGAGTTGTGTTGTTCTCCCTCTCATAGCACTTGTAGGCTGCTCATCCTTGGCCAAGGTCATCTAATCTCTCTCTTTCAAATAGCTTATCCCTTTGCAAAATCTCCATAATACTTTTTTTCTCGCCTTCTAAAGCAGCTCTGAGACTTCAGATAATTAATGTTTGTCAAACTCCAGGGTCTGAGACGAAGGGAAATGCTAAGCTAGTGAAAAGTGCTGTTATGGGATTCCCTAGCAGAAAGAAAAGCTGTTTAAAGTAGAGGTAGAAAGGAGGTCTCAAACAGTACTTAGAAAAAACTGTCAGGTATGATTTAGATCATTGGAAATCAAAAAGCAAAGGATGCCCACATTATACTTACCTGTATCCCAGGGCTGCCATCATCTCCTTTGTCCCCTTTAATACCTGGAGGTCCCTTGAATTAAAGAGGCAATAATAAAATTATATGTCATCTACATAATCACTCCTGTGTTGGCATGCCTCATTTTCAGATCATAAGAAAATTTCCTTTTGGGAAAAGAGGGGTCATGCTAGATGCAGGATTCTGAGCTGCAGTTGAATAAAGTACCATATTTTTCCATGTATAAGAGGCCCCCATGTATAAGATGCCCCTGACTTTTCTAACCCAAAATCAAGAAATCTAAGTGGGGCTTAGCAAGTGTAGGGGGAAAGGGATCAAAGCACTGCAGGATCACTTTGATCCCTGTTTTCTCCCTTCGTGCTAAGCCCCACAGGGCTTAGCGAAAGGAGGGGGAAAGGAATCAAAGCAATCCCACAACTGCACAATCATCTTGATCCCTTTCCCCCTTATACAGCCATGAGATTGCTTTGATTCTTTCCCCCCTCCATTTGTCAAGCCCCATGGGACTTAGCAAGCAGAGGGGAAAGCAGGGATCAAAGCGATCCTGCAGTGCCTTGATCCCTGCTTTCTTTTTGCTAAGGATTATCAAGTGGAGGGGGAAGCAGGGATCAAAGCTCTGCAGGAACAATTTGATCCCTGCCTTCCCCTCCACTTGTTTTTGTACTCTCCTCAGCTTACTTCCGTGTATAAGACAACCCTCAATTTTTAGGCTAAATTTTTTAGGCAAAAGTATAGCCTTATACATGGAAAAATATGGTAACTCCCCCAAATTCTGAGGATTCTGCACTCCGGAAGTTTACCCATGAAAATAAGGACATGTCTCTACTTTTGTAACAACCCTCATTCTCACACAAAGGGCAGTCCTAGCTTTGAGGACCTCTCTGGAAATGGGAAGGCAAACTGTTCAAGCAGAACTTGAGCTGGCCCAGCTGGCCCAAAGCAGACGCTTCACCTCTTATTTCTTCTCACAGATTCAGATAGGAGTGCACAGGCACATGGGTGACACTTTTTGAATGCTTGTGTCCATCCAACCTGTGTTCTCCAACCACCTGTCTTGGTCCAGCTCTTAAATCTGGGGTCACCAGCTAAAAGCAAAAGAGAAAGTGGTCAAAACCTGACTTACGATAGGGCCCTGCACGGTCAGTCCTTGGGAACCGGGTGTCCCCTGATGTCCTCCTGGACCTTCTGGTCCAACTTGCCCCGGTGGACCTGGGTCACCCTAAAATCACCCATCAGAGACCAAGGAAACAAAGCATGCATATAAACATCAGTATCTTCCAGATACAGTGGTACCTCACTAGACGACGACGCTGCTGTACGATGAAACCGCATGATGATGACTTTTTGCGATCGCTATAGCGATTCGCAAAACAGTCATTCCTATGGGGGAATTCCGCTTGACGATGATTTGGTCCATTGTTTCTTCGCAAGACGACGATCTTTACAGCTGTTCGTCGGGTTCCTAAAATGGCTGCCCTGTGTTTTCTGGACCCATGCTTCGCAGGGCAGCCATTTTAACAGCTGATTGGCACTCAGAAAATGGCTTCCCTATAGGCAATCTTTGCTGGACGAAGAGGTAATTTCCCCATTGGAACACATTAAATGGGTTTCAATGCATTCGAATGGGGAAAGGGGTTTCAATGCATTCCAATGGGGAAAGGTTCTTCGCATGATGATGATTTCGCTTAACAGCGATTTTACTGGAACTGATTATCGTCGTCATGTGGGGCGCCACTCTACTCAATTCTCTCGATGTGGTTTCAATGCATTCCAATGGGGAAAGGTTCTTCGCATGATGATGATTTCGCTTAACAGCGATTTTACTGGAACTGATTATCGTCGTCATGTGGGGCACCACTCTACTCAATTCTCTCGATGCAGTCATGTTTGGCAAATGCAAAACTTCATTCTCTGGAAGCACAGCAAAGGATGGAAACTTCTCTTAATCAGGTGTACAGATAGTCAACTTTCATTCATTTACACAACAGATTCTAAACACGGCTGATCTCAAGCAAAGATAGACCTGCCCCATACCAAAGGAACAACAGAAGACAAAGTTGTCTCCCCATATACAGAAGTCAACTGACTTTCTTATGAGTCATACTTCAAAACTGGGGATGGGCCAATGTCTTCAACTGCATCTGAAAGCAATACATGAGCTTAGAAAATGCAAGGCATTGATGTCAACCAAGAGGGAGAGAATATATTTTCTTCCAATGGCTCTAAGGTACATCCTTCACACAGCTTCCAGACTGCAATAACTCCAATCCTCAGTTTGGCACTCAGCACACAGGCAGAGCAAAACAACCTGTGTTTGATAACTCAGAGGAGAACAATAAACTCTAGCAACATCCTCCAATCTGTGCAGAAGGGAAACGGACAATATAAAACTGAGTGATTAACCACTGGATACTGCCAGATGGATAATCCAAACCTAAGACGGGCAGGAGAAGCTTTCTTTCATACAGGCAAAGCCTGAAGTAGACAAGCAAATCCTCATGCTTCCAAACAAGGTAGATTTGGCACAAGAAGCAGAGAAAATCTCATAAGTGCCTCTCCTCTTCCCTGATGGTAAAAATGGGAAGAAATGAAACAAACTTTCTGCCCTTTCATGACCTGGAGAGTCTCCTAACTGAGGCTATAGCCTCAGTCTTTCTAACGGTAGAGCCAGCCTTGAACAAAGGTTACACAGGTGGGAGTTGTAAAAAGAGACAGGAGGGTTAGTGATGAAGTTGAGAAGAACTTGAGAAGTCAGTCTTTGGTGTCTGAAATTGTCTAGACAGCACCTGGGGAGTTAATGAAACCACTAATAGATTTAGATGTCACTTCACTTACCTTGGGCCCTGGCTCACCTTGTTCTCCCTGTGGTCCTCGCCTTCCTGGATTGCCCTAGAGAAGAAGCAATTTAAAAAGCCATAAAATCAGGTGGAAAAGAGAGGGCACACACACACACACATACAGAGAGAGAGAGAGAGAGAGAGAGAGCTGTGTTGGATGATCTATAGCCAATACTTGAAATGTTGGAGTTTTTTCCAACCTCGCACGCTGTCTTTAGTAGGTTTGGCTGGCAAGGGCATTTCTGGAGTTTGTGCCAACCTCGCACGCTGTCTTTAGTAGGTTTGGCTGGCAAGGGCATTTCTGGACTGGGGTGACTGTCAATGTATCCATCACTAACCAATCGTTCCCTCCTAACTCTGAATTCAAAGAAAGCCCCGCCTCTCTGCTCAGTGCTTTTTCCCTCTCTTGAGTCTGTTGATGTCTGTTTGCTGAAAGCAGTCTTGTTTGTCAATTTGCTGTTTATTCCTTCTCTTTTTAAATCTCAGAGTGGGTTACTAAGACAGTGAAAACCAGATGAATTCAAAGAGAGTCCCATCTCTCTGCTCAGTGCTTTTCCCCTTTCTTGAGTCTCTTGATGTCTATTTGCTGAAAGCATTCGTGTTTGTCAGTTTGCTGCTTGATCTGTTAAATTGTAAGTAATAAAAACTGTTTATTCCTTCTTTTCTTAAGATCTCAGAGTGGGTTACTGAGACAGTGAAAACCAGAATGATGAGAAAAGGAGTGGTCTACTCTGGGCAGCTTGAAGCTATTCTCCTCTGTGAATCCCTGCACTTCTGCTGCGCAGCTAAAGGAATTTAACTGGAAATTCGAAACTCTGAAACACGGGAAAGTTACTTTTTAGCATTGATTTTCACAGAACTTGCAAACTGGCACGAGTGAGTGGCCATGCTGGCATTCCTGGAAGTGCAGTCAAAAAACAACAACCCACTTTATAACCTCTGTTTTTTACATTATGTTTACCTACAACTGCCCTGATGCTTCCAAATGCAGAACTGAGCACAGGATCTGTGATTAGAGAGAGACACCCTTGTTCTCATCCAGAAAAGAAAAGGAGATGGGGACCAAAAAAATTTTTTTTAAAAAAAATCAGATCAATAGGGCTGGGGTGTATGTGAAGTTCCCTCTTATCTGCATTCATTATTTGGGTCACATTTTTAATATGAGCGGACCTAATTCACACTTGTTGTGACATTAACACAGAGAATGCAATTGTCCTTTTGCTTTTGCATTTCCCTGAGTTTTGTGATCCAGAGTTCTATTCAGTAAGTCCGTCAGTCAGTGACTAGAAAAGTTACTAATTGGACTGCAAACCCAAGAATCCTCCCCAATAAAATATGGCCTGTGCTGAGAAATGAGCTTCAAAAAGTAACTTTTCAAAGCTTGGAAAAACATAGTAGGCTTTAAAAGAAAGATCAAGCATAAACAGTGTGCAAAACTGGGGCACATGGTGGGAAAATACTTGTGAAAAACTGCATAAAACAAAAAGGTGTACAAATTTTCATACACATACACACATGTCAGAACTTGATAGAGATGGAATGAATACATGCCTGGCTAAAAAAAAATGTAAAGAACATCACAGAAAGAGAGTTCTATCCATCGGCATGACCGAACTTGACCTGACTCTGGCTACATGGCAGGGAATACAGCTGCCCACTTTCTCTGCCAATCAGCCAACCTACTTTCGCTCCCAACAGACAATAGCTCTGTATTAAATATAACTTATTTGTCATGTCCCATCTGGGTTAAAAGCAGGGAAGTCTGTTAAAGATGAACATGGGGAAAACATCTTATTACACTAATGGGGTCAACATTCTCATTTCTCAGAGGACCGCTGACTCTGCCAGGCAGCCTAATCTGTATAATGATGATGATGATGATTTTATAAAACATTATAATCAGCTGCAGAATACCATCAGGGCTGCAAAAAAGGATGATTTAGGAACAGCATACCTATTACACTGATATTTAACTGACAACCAGGTTTTCGGTTCAAACTTGTATCTGATATATTATCCCAAAGACTGTGTTTTGAATTTTTTAATAATAATAATAATAAAAACTGTGCTCTACACCAAAGTGCATTCCAGTAAAATCAATAAACGTAGAAATATGCAAACACAGCCCTCGTTTGCAATGACAGTTGCTGGAAGAAACATCATAAGATTTCCACATGGGCATTCTGACTGTAACAGAGCACAGATGGAATAAAAGCATGGTGGAGGAGAGAGAATACAAATTTGTCTGGAGTAGAAGTAGGAAATGTCACCTTTTGGACTATCACTCTCAGAATCCCCCAGCTGGGATGGACAAACTCTTCTACAAGGGTGTAGAACTCTTGATATTAGAGAGATTTATCATTCTTTTAAGCCACTGAACTAAGGACTCAAATTAGGCAAAGCTGAATGGAGAGGGTTAAGACTGCTCCCAGCATGGCCCCAAATTTTCTCCAGGACATAACTTGAATTTTAACCAGGACAAGCTTTGTTTAGAAAGTAGGTCATTAGGAGAGGGTGAGCTGGCTGCCTTTAATTGTTCGATATTTTTGTGTCTGAAACACTGCGGCCAGCTTCATGACTGGGAAACAAAAGTAGACGATAGACCAAGAACTGGAAGCCCTTCTTCAACGATGTCCACCAACAATTTAGCACACTGAAATCAGTTTAAGAGAGAATTTTTGTGGGGCAAAGAGAGAATTTTTGTGGGGTGGTGGTGGTTCTCTTGAAATATCTCAAAAAAAATTTTGTCCAAAGATTGACCTCAACATTTCTATGGCCAGGACAACTGTCCAAGTCCAGCCCACTCCTTCGGCATGCTCTCCGTTACACAACTGGATGTCCAAGCAGTTGTACAAAAGACAACTCACAAGCCAAATATTGGGAAATACATGTAAAGGAAGGCGAAAACATCATAGATGCCTGTCCTCCTTTTACCTGATTCAATAAATGATGCTGGCCTAAACCGATTATTATTCGATTCATCAAGATTTGCCTGAGATGAAGCTACCATGTTGTCCTCAAAACTTCATTCTAAGTTAGGATGGTCCTTTTTAACAGTCACATGTCCAGAAATCTGTCTGTCTGAAGAGTGGTTGGAGGATGCTCCTAAAATGAATCTAATGATAATCTTAAACTGCAGAGCTGGAAAGAACCTGATGGATCATCCCTTGTCAAGGAGCCACAGTGGGGAATCAAACGCCCAACCTTTGGCTCCACATCCAGAGACCTAGGCCACTGAGCTATCCAGCGTGGTGGGATAGGGTTCACCCCTGCTTCATTCTTCATGGTTTCAGCCTTGGTTACAGCCCTCAACCACCATTGTTGGCTCCACATCCAGAGACCTAGGCCACTCAGCTATCCAGCGTGGTGGGATAGGGTGCACCCCTTCTTCATTCTTTATGGTTTCAGCCTTGACTGCATCCCTCAACCACTACTGTGTACTGTATTTTTGTTTAAGTACATATCAATTGGTCCTCTACATGGTTTGGGTTTCAAGTTCCAGAAGGCTCAGCCAACATGGAGACCTTCTGAGAGCTGATGTCTAAAATATCTGAAAGATCAAAGACAGAGTATGATTGATGTAGAGTCTATTGTAAATATGCATTTATGCTTATATATTTGCATACACAAATGTTTTAGAATTGCTGTCCTCTTTTCTCTTTCTTCTTCTTGGCAATGCCTAAGTAGCTCCAGAAGGCTCAGCCAACATGGGGAACTTCTGAGAGCTGATGTCTAAAATATCTGAAAGATCAAAGACAGAGTATGATTGATGTAGAGTCTATTGTAAATATGCATTTATGCTTATATATTTGCATACACAAATGTTTTATAATTGCTGTCCTCTTTTCTCTTCTCTTTCTTCTTCTTGGCAATGTCTAAGTTGGTGATGTGTTTTAGGTGATATTATGGCTCAACCCAGAAGTTAAGGGGACATATGTACAGTGGTACCTCGCTAGACGATGACCCCGCTGTATGACAAAACCGCATGATGAAAATGTGCATTTATGCTTATATATTTGCATACACAAATGTTTTAGAATTGCTGTCCTCTTTTCTCTTTCTTCTTCTTGGCAATGCCTAAGTAGCTGATGTGTTTTAGGTGATATTATGGCTCAACCCAGAAGTTAAGGGGACATATGTACAGTATTTGCTTTGACCAATCCATTTTGCCACCACTGCCACCACTATGTTCTAAACCGCATGATGACGACTTTTTGCGATTGCTATAGCAATTCGCAAAACAGTCATTCCTATGGGGAAATTCTGCTGGACGTCGATCAAGACTATGGTTTTTTTTGACTGATCATCAGCTTCCTAAAATGGCTGCCCTGTGTTTTCCGGACCCATGCTTCGCAGGGCAGCCATTTTAACAGTTGATCGGCAGTCATAAAATGGCTTCCCTATGAGCGATCTTTGCTGGACGACCAGGTATTTTCCCCATTGGAACACATTAAACCGAGTTTCAATGCATTCCAATGGGGAAAGGCTTTTCACGTGATGACGATTTCGCTTAATAGCAATTTTCCCGGAATGGATTATCGTCGTCATGCGGGGCACCACTGTATTTCTTTTGACTAATCCATTTCGCCACCACTGCCACCACAATGTTCTAGAGACAATAATGCTGGAAAGGGGGAAGGCAGCAGGAAAAGAGGAAGACCAAATACAAGATGGGCTGACTCTCCTGGAGTTTACAGGAGCTGAGCAGGGCAGTTGAGGACAGGGCCTTTTGGAGAAAACATGTTCCTAGAGCTGCCGTAAGTCAGTCAGAGGTGACCTCATGGCACATCACCACCACCGTAATGGGATTTTCACAGATGCATCCGCTTCACCAGTCAGAATTGCACAGACAGCCCCTGTTTACCTTTTAATAACCAATCACAGCACTGAGCACACTAGGCCAAGCAGATGCCTTTCACCCACCTAGGGGGCATCTCTGAAAAAAAAACATGTTAAGTGTATCACCTAATTTGACCCTCAGTGACAACTCCAGGAGGCGTTCAGTGTAATCCTATTTTCTGCTGTTTGTGTGGTATAATTCTCTTTGCTGCTTGGTGGCAGGATTATCTTGCTTCCCACACAGTGAAATGTGTGACGTTTTCCTGGAAACAATAATTGGAAACATAACTCACTGGAGGGCCTGGGGGGCCCTGAAGGCCAGGGATGCCTGATGTGCAGCTGCAGGAAGGCAGTTGACTGGGACATGTCTCTTCGTCCCTCTGAAATATAAAAATAAAGCAATTTTAAATGTCTAAGTACAAAGGCCTTCTGCAACGAAATATTTCAGAGCAGAGGGCCGCCCTTCCACCCACCACTTGCTGAGCTTTCCATTTCCCCCCTCCAACCGTTGGTTAACATTCTCTGCTCGCTAAGCTTGCTCTGTCCTCATTCGTTGGTTTTGGAGACAGTAATGTTGACCGGCTAGGCACCGGTTGTAATTGGGTTCGCACCAGAGGGGATGCAGTGAAGACCTGAACAAGGGTCTCATGTCCTCACCAGCCTTCTTAGGAGTCCTTTGGGAAGGCTGACAAAAAGTCACTCTACATCAGGAATATACACGCGGCGTCTCTCTTCCTCCAGAGAACCAGAGAGCTTTCCATTCTTACCAGGGCTGGGACATCACAGCATCGGTCTTCTTCAGCCCAGAAGGTGCCGCACACGATCCGCAAGGACTGCAGCTGAAACTGAGGATGAAACATAAATGAGGCCACCCGCAATCATGAAAAAAGGATTTCTAAAAGGAGTAATCGCTTTCAACTTCAACGCTCACTCACAGTGGTCAAAAAACAGCCAGGAGAACTGCTTTGTTTTTGTGTGAAAAGTGAGTGATTTAAAAAAAAGGAGTCAGCTCTCCGCGGTTTTCCCTTGTTTGGTGTCATTTTGTGAATGGTAGTGAGCATAAAAGAGTATGTTGTAGTGTAGACCATCTTGACTGCTGCCCCTAGTGTTGTTAACATTCAGGCTGCCCTTTGCTATGTAAAGCTTATTATCATTTTAGGTAAAGGTAAAGGTTCCCCTTGACATTTAATCCAATCGTGTCCGACTCTAGGGCGCTGTGCTCATCCCCAGCTCCAAGCCATAGAGCCAGTGTTTGTCCAAAGACAGTTTCCGTGGTCACGTGGCCAGCATGACTAGATATAGAACGCGTGACCTTCCCACCATGGTGGTACCTATTTATCTACTCGCATTTTTACATGCTTTCAAAAGGTTAGGTTGGCAGGAGCTGGGACAAGTGATGGGAGCTCCCTCCGTCGTGTGGATTCGATCTTACGACTGCTGGTCTTCCGACTTTGCAGCACAGAGGCTTCTGCAGTGTAATCCACAGTGCCACCACATCTCCTAAATTATCAGTTTACTTGCTGGCAAAAGGGGTATGATATTGTGGAGCATTTATGGGCCATTTCCCAGTGTTTTGAATTGTAGATACAGAAACGTAATGTCCCAGATTGATAAACCAGAGGTTGTGCCCACGGGAAAAATGTTTGCGTGAGAAGTGGTTAACTGATGGGGGGGGGGAAAGAGTCAGCTTCTGGGATTTTCCCTTGTTTGGTGTGACTTTGTGAAGCACAATATCCCAGATGCTTAAACCAGAGGTTTTTTTAATCATTATTCAGCTGGACTGAGAACAGAAGGACGGAAGGACAGAGTGACAGATAGTAAACCTTCAGCTTCCTGAAACAACACCTCAGATCTTTCCAATTATGGAAACAGAAGCAAAAACTCGTATCACTTCCCACTGAGTCCCAGTAAGGCACTTCTGAGAATTACATTTCATCTTCCTCCAGCCCACAGACATGCGTCTGCCAAGATTTTTCGGTTTGCTGCGAAACCCAAGCATCTTCACATTGCGGCAGCAAACATCATTAGTGCCTTTGTTTTCTCCAGCCCAAAACTCAAGGGGTTATTCATTTCATGTTCAGTTTTGCACACCATTGAAAAGAAAACACGGGCATAGTCTGCATTATTCACATATCCTGTGGCCAAAAGCTTTGTGTGGTGGGCTTACGGATCATGAAGGGTGGAAATCCAGTAAGTCGAGGCTACAATAGCAAAATCTTTATTTTTGCCTGTTGCGTGTCCACCAATTCTTTTCTCCTGATAGTTCAATAATTCATTGCACCCATAAAGCAAATCCTCTGGTTTTTGCTAGTGCTCAAAGAAAGGCACCAGTGTGTTTTTTTAAAATCTATACTAAACAAACAAATAAACTTAAAAAGAAAACTGTTCTCTGTACACTTCCAGGTAATACACAAACACAGCCAAAGTAAACACATGGAATAAAGAAGTAAATGTTAATTAAACAAATCTCATTCATTCCACAGATCTACTGTAGTTTGGACTAACCGTTACATTTAGCATGTGACTAGATAGTGAGACTGCCCCAGATTGATTCGGGTGGGCTTCCTAGTGCAGGGAAATAGTTCTTGCTGTATCGCACAGAATATTTAATTATCCTGTACAACTATGGAGGCAAAAGTCCACACTGCACCTCAAATTGTTACAATTCTCCTGAGGATCACAGGTTGGTCACACACACACCCAGTCACTAACACCTCCCTCTCTTCTCTCTTTTTTTTTTAAAAAAAATCTGCAAGTAACATAATGGTTGATCGATGCAGCAACTGACAAAACTGCATTGCTTATCTGGCATTGTGCTAAATCAGACAAGCATAATTTTAAAACAAATAGTCTGGAGGAGAGACAAGAGGCATTCACTTGAGGGGGATTTTCTTAGAATCTTAGAACTGCAGAGTGGAAAGGACCCTACAGATTATCTCTAGACTCTGTTGACATACCATGCACCACTGAGAAGATGCTAGCACGGGGGTGGGTGGGGGTGGGTATCCCACTTAAGTGATCACCTCTTGTCTCGCCTCCAGACTTTTTTTTAAAAAAAGGGGGTGGGTGGGGGTGGGTATCCCACTTAAGTGAGCACCTCTTGTCTCACCTTTTTTTTAAAAAAATTGTTGCCTGATATAGCACTATATCGGGTGAGTGCTGTAAGTTGTTGCATCAATGTAGCGCTATGTCACTTGCTGATTTTTAAAAAAATCTCATTGTAAATTATACTCGAGGACATACTCACCACTGCCCCTTTGTACTGATATAGGAAATCATATACCCCAGAGATTTTAAAAAGGAAGGAAGGAGGGAAAGCAAGCATAATCACTGCAAAAGTGTTTTCATGATGACTACAGGACAGGACAAAGAGCCCAGGGGTACTGATGGGGCAGTGTGACACTCTTCAGAGATATCTCATAGTAAATTCCCCCTCCCTTTGTGGGGCTAAATAAGTTAGAATTTGGAAAAGTGACACAATTAGAAAAGTAAAAGAGAAAAATCATTACTTTATAAGGGAGATGCTGATCTGCCACCAAAGGATGAGATTGACCACTTCATCCTGCCCCACTCTCCTTCTGCCGCAACACTCAAGGATCTCTCCGACATACTCCAGCTATTGAGGCACCTAGTGACATGCAGTCACTAGGCTGCATGTCTCCTTCCCTGTGGTTTTTATAGGAGTGTTGAGCGATTAGGATAGCATTTTCCTTTAGGATGCTAGTGTCTTTTTTTATCCCTCCTCTCCTTCGGTTTCACTTTTCGTGTTGCTTCAATGACGTTGCCGCCGAAGTTCATAACCACCCTCACCTCCTCCTTTTTCTCTTCTACGCTCTGAGCTGGAACGGAGCAAATAATTCTGCCAGAAATCATTCTGATGGTGTCATAATAACACACACCTATCCTCAAATTGTAGCCATTGGCATTTCCCTTTCATGGTAATGGATTTTTTTCACATAGATTTATTTGGTGAGCCACGAATACCAGCATTTAACCAATACATGGAGTGACCTGGAGAGTCATCAACAAGATACAAGGCAAAGGAGGTGTCAGTTTCTGTCCCCTTCTTTGGACAGACTGCAGGGAGGGAGGGCAGCGCCTAGCCCTACAAATTATCTCTTTTATAGCCTGGGAAGTGGTTGTGTGATTAACAGCAGAGTTGTTAACCCAGAAGGCTGGAGGTCAAAACTGCACAGAAATTCAGTCACCTCCAGATGACTTAAGAGTAGACACTTAAAAACTCTGTTGCTGGAATACTGGAGTTAATTTTCTCCAGCTCTGTAGGTTGTGATCTGGGCGTCCTTAATATTGGGCCCCATTTTTTGTCTTGTTTCAGTGGATGGGTTCTAATGGGACACAACTTTCAAACCAACTGGAAATCTTGCCCCTTAATATATTTTCCAATGAAATTTCAGTGCCGATGCCGAGCAGAAAGGGGGAATAATTCAATATGCACAATCTAATTAAGAGTTGAGTTGAGATTGCTTAACCATCACTAAACTTGATTGTTTCCAGCAATTTTCTATCCTGCACCCCAGATGTTAAATCCACATCCCAAGATGTGTTTGTTTGCTGGGGGAGGGTGTGTGCATGGAGGTTGGCATGTTAAACAACTCACAAGAAAATTTGGTGATGTGGATGGGTACAAAGCTGCTGAAGCCAAACTACAATTTAGTAACGACAATGAAACAACAACGACAACAATAACAATAACAATAACGACAATTCCCACTCTTTTGTTGACTATGAGGGCTACTCCATTCCTTCTACGGGATTCTTGCCCACAATAGTAGATATGATAATCATCTGAGCTGAATTCGCCCATTCCTGTCCATTTTAGTTCACTGATGCCCAGGATGTCGATGTTTATTCTTGCCATCTCCTGTTTGACCACCTCCAGCTTCCCAATGTTCATAGATCTTACATTCCAGGTTCCTATGCAGTATTTTTCTTTGCAGCATTGGATTTTCCTTTCACTTCCAGGCACGTCCACAGCTGAGCGTCCTTTCGGCTTTGGCCCAACCACTTCATTAGCTCTGGAGCTACTTGTACTTGTCCTCTGCTCTTCCTCAGTAGCATGTTGGACGCCTTCCGACCTGAGGGGCCCATCTTCCAGCGTCATATCTTTTAGCCTTTTGTTTCTGATCATGGGGCGTTCTTGGCAAAGATACTGGAGTGGCTTGCCATTTCCTACTCCAGGTGGATTGCGTTTAGTCGGAACTCTCCACTATGTCCTGTCCGTCTTGGGTGTCCCTGCACGGCATAGCCCATAGCTTCTCTGAGTTACTCAAGCCCCTTCGCCACGACAAGGCAGCAATCCATGAAGAAGGTTTTCTAGGTAGAGTGGACTAACAAGGCATTCTGTCTCTTTGACAGCATCACTTTTGAGAAAGTCAGAGTATTTGAAAAGTGCTCAGTGGCAATGGAAGCCTACAGTGGTTATTAGTTTTTTTCCCCCACCAGCATTTCAAACTTGTTAAATACTCCCAGAAGATACATATAGATATAAGAGATGCACAAACAGGAGAAATGGTTGAGTTTTTCTCTCTCTTTCCTATTGCACAAAGCAGATGTCAATCTTCATCAGAGATTCCAATTTTGGAATAGCATTTATTTATTTTTAACAAGAGTTTACTTGAAGTGCATAGAATCTCATCCAGTTGGCAGACTAGAACAGACATGAGGTCCTGCTGGAAATTACTAGCCGCATTCTCTTGTTATGGAGGTAATCAAAAGAAGGTAGATGTTCAATAGACAATGCTTAATTGTGTCAGGACATTTCTTTTTTGCAATGAACCTCTGCTTCTACAGGATCTTTCGTTAAACCAGGGTCATGTCAGTTGTCATCCTTATGGTATCATTGGATCACCACTCCCAACAGCTAGATCCCTCTGGAGGGCTGGAAGGGGCCCATCCATGTGCTACAGAGCATTGGATTCACTTGGATCTGATGCGTCTTCCGTGAAATCGGCACGCAATGAACTTACCGCTGCTGAGCCACTTCTCGGCCCTCGTGTCCTTGTCAGTTTCCCCAGCATAACAAAGCCAGCTGTCGAGATGGTCTCTGAGGTCCCGAGCAGTTTCTCAGCTATTCTCTTGCAGTCAATGTAGAGCTTGACCTTGGAACGGCTCACCGATACATGCACCTGCGCAGCAGACAAAAATAGTTACTCTGTGCGGTACTGTGATGCTGGGATTTTCAATGCAGTAAGACCAAGCCACAGACTCCTAAAACTTGCCAGAACAACCAATTCAGCATCATATGGGCAGCTAGATTTGTGAAAGCAGAGTTTGGACATTTTCCCCCACTTCCTAATTCTCACATAAGGAATTATCCCAGTGGCCATGCTGCCTGGTGATTCCAGGAGCTGTAATCCGAAAACTAACTTTTTCCATATTCTGGACATACATAACACATGGCATGGGTAAATCTGCAGCTTAGTGAAGGAACACAGGCTTTGCTCGTAGAAGTCACAGGTTCAGTCTGCCATTTCTCAGCTTAAAAGGATCATAAGCAATAAAAGAAAGGAAATATCTTGGCTGGAAACTCTGCATGTCTGTTGCCCTATGGACACGACAGTTCTAAGCCAGGCAAACTCCTATCCAGTTCAGTACAAGACAGCTTTATAGGTCCAACTAATTATGTCAGTTTAATTTCTAAACCATTTTTAATACTCAGATCACCGGATAATTAATTTTTTGTCTTTGCGGATTCTTTGCACATATTCTTGGATACATTCGTGCATACATTTAAGTAGATTAATACATGCAGACAGGAAGTGAGTTAGTAACATATTATTATGCTGGGACATCACCCAGATTTGTTAGTGTTCCGGCATAAACAGCTTAGCCAACATGAACAGATCTTTCTAGGACCTTTGTTTAGTCAACTGATAAGAAAACCTAAGGCATTTTTTATCACCCTAGATATGCATGTTGGTCTTTCTTTAAATACCGACCTTGTGGAAGTTTCCATAAAATATCTTCTTGACTTCCTGCTGGTCAAAGCTGACTTCCTCGACATCGCCTTCATGGTCCCGATGGAAATAGATCAGGGATTTCTTATTGGCTAGGAGGAAAAAGGCAACAAGTGAACTGTAGGTTTTAAAGACCACCGCGTGGAACAGATTTCATGGTCACTTATCATGAATTGTGGACTGTCCATGTCCCGATGTCACAGACAAAAATAGGGGAGGGAATCATCAGGGTAACTGAAACATCCCACTAACCAAAAGAGCACCTCACAAAATAGTCTACGAGAAATGTATTTTTGCATGCAAATGCATGGCAGGCACACTGGAGTTTAAAATAATGATGGTGATGATGGTGATGGTGATGAGGATGGATTACAACTCCCAGAATCTCTGGCCAGGCATTTCTAAAATTCTTTCCAAGATATGCAACTTCCTAAGCTGTAGGAACTGCATTTTATACAGCAGAAGGGTGCTACAGATTTATTCGTTTTGCAGGGACTGAAAGGAAAAAAGGTCTTAACACTGTTAAGATAAAATGTCATCTTTGTTTTCAATGTTAGACTATAAAGAAAGAAAACACCTGTTCAAAGTTAGAGCATCAAGAAATTTTCACACTGCTATTAATTATAAACATACAATATGGAGCAAGCCTTCCCTCCATCCACTGTCTGAATTTTTGTTTTTTGTATTTTTTCCATCTTGGATCATTGTGGGGTTTTTTTAGTAATATATTACAATATATATGACAATATATATTGTTGTTTTAAATTGCAAGATGGTGATGATGGTGATGGTGATGAGGATAGATTACAACTCCCAGAATCTCTGGCGAGGCGTTTCTTTGTGTTGTAATCTACATGGTGATGATGGTGATGGTGATGAGGATAGATTACAACTCCCAGAATCTCTGGCGAGGCGTTTCTTTGTGTTGTAATCTACAAAAGAAAATTTCTGTACCCATACATTGTTTCTGTCTTATAGCAGGTCTAGTAGGTTCCATCTTGGATCATTGTGGGGTTTTTTTAGTAATATATTACAATATATATGACAATATATATTGTTGTTTTAAATTGCAAATTGTTATATGTCATGTTGTTACCCACCCAGATTAGTCTATATGACTAAATGGGAGGGCTATAAATGTAATAAATAAAAAGAAAATTTCTGTACCCATACATTGTTTCTGTCTTATAGCAGGTCTAGTAGGAAGCTATCAAGAACAGGATCATGGTCACTAGGGGTTGTGCTGCGCACTCTGTTGCAACCAATACAACACATCGGCGTGTTTCCAGAACACCCACAGGGCAGAATCGAAAGCTCAGAGCCGCAGCTTCCGACCGTCTCTGATTCCTTGTGTTAAATCCAGGTTTCAGGGAGTTAAAAATAAAAACGACGCCGTGCAATGACAAGTGGAGAAAAGGAAACAGAAACTAAGGAAGATATTGAGTTGGCACCAGTGGAGATGGAGAATATGTTCTCTCGTCAGGGAATGAACCTTGTTTGCTTTCCTGCTGCAAAATTATCGATGGATTCATCAAAACCCATACTTTTTAAGATACTTGTTTCTGCAGCTGTTCAGAGTCCTGTGCTCTTACCACCACAGAGGAGGCGGCAGTGCCACAGATTTCAGGTGCAGGAAGAAGGAGGAAGAGCAAAGAGAAGAGAGAAAATAGGTGGAAAGTATAGAGAGAGAAGACTGGTGTGCTCTGAGCCTCAAATCCTGACCTGCTGGTAGAGCAGTGTTTCTTCTAGAATAGGTTTAACTCAATGCAAAGCCTGACTTCTGATTGACCAGCAGCACTTCTCCCTTGTCAGGATTTAGCTTGTTCTTCTTCATCAAGCTGATGATCATACTCAGGAAGGACTGAAGATAGGGGGATAGGATGGAGCACTGAGGTTTCAAACAATAATCCTCCAGTGCCAGCTTCTCAATACGTCTTGATTTTAGCCTGAACTTTACAGGATCTATCCAGAGTGCTGAAACAGTGACTGTTGGGCCTACTTACGACCAAGTATGATGCCAAGAAGAGGCTGGAAGTCCTCATCGGTGACCTGCCATACTGCAAAAGCTTCCCTGGGACTTTCTGGCAGAAGGCGAAGAAGGAAAGTGATGGTGTATTCCCAAGGAATTCCAGATGGAAAGACTTCACTGGAGAAATAAAGCAAGAAATAAAGAATTGGGAAGTTGGCTTCACATCCCTAGTTGTTAGCTGGGAGAAGTTACAGTAGGAACACAGTATCAGCAAGGGATCAGTTCGACCCCCACGGATGTCAACAATTGTGGTTAACAGTGAACCTTATACACAGCATGGCCTCTGGCACCCTCTAGTGGCCAGTTCTGGTAATTACATCATGAAAATACCTATTTCTAAGTTTTTTTCATTTAAAAAATTTAATATTTTCAGTCTGGGGGGAGTGAAATTGTGGATACTGATCCCATAGATATGGGGGTCCTTCACATGTAGCAAGTGGTCTGGCCTCCCTAGCTGAGACATATTATCTAGCCGAATGTCTCCTCTCACCTAGATCTACCCGAATAACTCATTCTAGCCAAGATGGGCTGCTGAGGGTCTAACGCCAAGGGAGGCCCAAAGAGAAAAAGCAAGAAAGCAGGCCTTCTCGTGAGTGGCCCCTCACCTCTGGAACTGTCGGCTCTCAGAGATCTGTCTGGGTCCCTCGCTGGGTGCTTTTAAGAGCAATCTTAAGACCTGGCTCTTTAGGCAGGCTTTCCCTCCTGTTTTCACTTGATTATGTTTTACCATCTAGAACTATATTATTACTGTCGTTTTTATTTTCTTATATTGTTTTTACTTTTACCTATTATTGTTAGCTGCCCAGAGTAGACTTCAGTCTAGATGGGCGGGGTATAAATAAATAGAAAGAAAGAAAGAAAGAAAGAAAGAAAGAAAGAAAGAAAGAAAGAAAGAAAGAAAGAAAGAAAGAAAGAAAGAAAGAATGAATGAATGAATGAATGAATGAATATTAACACAACTGTGTTGCCATTATTTTCCACTTACATTCTGCTCAGGATCATGTTGGAATACCATTATTCTTTGAAAGCACCAAACAGCATGGCCAGGTCCCAGAAGTTATGAAAATAATATATTTGTTTTGCCATAAACGTCCTCCAAAACCCTGAGCCAGTGCAGGCCAGGCAAGTCAGGGGTTCTGGGACTTGTAGGTACTCTTCTCAATTTCTGCCACAACCTTGAGCAGCTGCCAGGATCCAGGCAATGACAGGAAATGCCGGTCAGGTAGAAAGCGCCAGCACCAAGGAGCGGTCGCTGGATCTGGTATATGTGGCTTGAAGACAGCTGTCTCGCACCCTGCCAGCACCAAGCACTTCAGGGCAGGCCTCCATCTTTCCAGCTCCATTTTTTTTTGTGCCCATTGAATTTTGGTGCCCTGGATCCAAGACCCAGTCACTACTCTCTAGCTAGGGTTGAATGTGTGTGAAACCAGCTGAGGTGTCTGTGTGATGGCATATACCATATTTTTCCGTGTATAAGACACCCCCACTTTTCCAATCCAAAATTAAGAAATCTAAGTGGGGCTTAGCAAGTGTAGGGGGAAAGGGATTAAAGCGCTGCTGCAGGATCGCTTTATTCCCTGCTTTCCCCTCCACTTGTTTTTGTTCTCTCCTCAGCTTACCTGCGTGTATAAAACGACCCTCAATTTTTCCCCCTAAAGATTTTAGACAAAAGTATAGTCTTATACATGGAAAAATATGGTAAGTATGAGATGAGACATCTCATACTTCAAAGCTGAGAGGGGACATCTACGTAAAGCAATGTAGCAAGTGGATGGGACATAAAACTCTACCTGCCCATGAGTCAGGACAATGTCAGCCATTCAAAACAGAGACTCCTGGGCTGGACGACACAGTATAAGGCTCTTTCCTATTGATCCTGCAAAGGAATTACATAATACGGGTACTCTTTCTACATAGGTAACTCCAGGGTACTGCTGACTAAATAGAGTTAAATCCAGGATCTTCTAAGATATTCTTACCACAGTGAATATTTGAGACTGGCATTTGGCATCCACTGAGAGCTTGGTACTGGAGGAGGCTCTTGGGAGTCCCCTGGACTGCAAAGAGAACAAACCTATCCATTTTCTGAAGGAAATCAACCCTGAGTGCTCATTGGAAGGACAGATCCTGAAGCTGAGGCTCCAATCCTTTGGCCATCTCATGAGAAGAGAAGTCTCCTTGGAAAAGACCCTGATGTTGCGAAAGTGTGAAGGCAAGAGGAGAAGGGGATGATAGAGGACGAGATGGATGGACAGGGTCATCGAAGCTACCAGAATGAATTTGACCCAACTCCGGGAGGCAGTGGAAGACAGGAGGGTCTGGCGTGTTCCGGTCCATGGGGTAACAAAGAGTCAGACATGACTTAACGACTAAAAAACAAGAGAGCTTGGAAAAGTTACTGTTCTGGATTCTCAGGATTTCTTAGCCAGTACGGTCAGGAGGCATCCCATAGCCTGAGTACAGTTGCAAACAAGTAACTTTTCTGAGTTCTGGCAGAAAGTCAACAATAGGAACAAAAGTCGGAGCAGAGCAGCAACGCTGAGACATTTCCCCACGCATAGGGAAGCTCCTATCAAGGGTGTTGGCAAGTCTTTGGGTTCGAGTCCCTAGTCTGAGTCTGAGATACAAAGTCTGAGTTTCTATGAAGAACAAGTTTTTTTTCCCTCCTAGAAAAAAAGGGAAGGATGGGTGGGTTCTGAGTTGCAAGCTGAGTCATTAGGAGGAAAAATGTGTTGGGTCCAAGTTGAGTCGCCAGTGTGGCTTAAGTCCGACTTGACAGCAAGCTCATGACTCACATCCCCATCTCTGAGTCCTAAGCCCCCAGATTTGCTGTCTGCAATGAGCCAGTAATGAAAATAAGTTTCCGAAAGGTAACTTTTCCAGGCTCTCTACCCAGTGGGATCTGAGATCAATCAGGGATGTGACAGTGTTGTCTATTTTTAGTGAACTATTGTAGCCCGGGAATGATTACGATTGCTCGGAGAAGCTCTGGTGTGACAGTAGGAAATCTTTTGACAGATTAAGTTTTTCAAGAAAAAAAAAACTTATGACGGACATCAGAAAACAAGAGTTATTTTCTCTCTCTTGAACCTCACACGGCATTACTTGCGAGCCTTTGATTATCGTGGCTCTGTACCTAAAGGTAAGGATCTTATATCTGTGATTTCCTCTCACACACCCCTAATTTTTCTCTGTTCAAAATGACATCATGTCCTTGAAAGGGTGATCTCTATGTATATTAGTCCAGTGATACGAACAAACCCATCCGAGCCTCTGAACATTTTGATGAAGGGTACTCTGTGGAATCTCACCCATTCGACGTTAAGAAGCTTTGCTTCTTTAAATAAGATTAAAATTATCCCTATGTTTCAGCAATTAAACTTAAAAAGGAAACTACTGCTGCCTCTTAATAATCCAGTCGGCCTTGCTTTGCAAAGCGACAGTCAATAATAAAATCAAATGGAATACATGCTGGGCCATTATAAACCCCAGATTATGAGGAGGATTCCGAGTGCCAACTTAGAAACCAAAGTCATGTTCCAAAGTCATTGACAAGCCGAAGCCTATGTAACTCGCCGACGGGTAAAGAAGTAGGACAGTTGTAATACTGCCTGCAGAGGTGGGCAGGAAATTATTTCTTTGGGTTTCCGCTTCTGGGATTCCTGCATTTTTTGCCGGCGGGAGTGTTTTAGGCGCTGTTCTCCAACAGAAGTAAGATCTTTCATCTCCCTCGCACCTCTGTGCCCTCATCATTTTAGCCCTCCATGATTTTAGCTGCACAGCAAAACTGGCCCGAATCAATGGAACTTGCAGAGATAAATGTGTGTTTTAGCTACAACTGAACAGGCAGAAGTGGAATGCAAAGTTTCATGGATTTTCTTATGCTTTCTTAAAAGCGGGGAAAATGGACAGAAAGAGTTTTTGTCTGAATCTATGATAAATCACCATGGACCAGAAAAAAATACACATCCCTAGGTGGTATCATTCAATAGCACTAGAAGATCGAAGGGAAGCATTGGGGGGAAAAACTCTCCCATGAAAGGATATAAAGGGAAAAATCCTGTTGCTCAGCAGGGTAAATTGCACAAGTTTTTGTCTGAATCTATGATAAATCACCATGGACCAGAAAAAAATACACATCCCTAGGTGGTATCATTCAATAGCACTAGAAGATTGAAGGGAAGCATTGGGGGGGGGCGGAGCTAAGGTAAGTCACAGGTAGAGTAGGCCCATTTTGAATCAATGGAACTTACAGCGGAGTTGACTCACTAAATCTCCATTGATTCAGTGGGCCTGTTCTAGTGCACTTAACTATGCCAAGCAACATGAATTTAGCCACTGAATGCTTGCCTCTTTTTCCCCCTCACCCTTGATGAAAAAGAGATACCCCAGTGCATGAAAGAGCTCTAATAAAAATCTGCCATGAGAGTTCTTCCTCCTACACAACAGCAAAAAGACCATCTTGTACCCGTATTTAAAAAAACAAACAAACCCTCTTGCACATTGCTTTAAGAAAGTAGTGTTTTCTGAAGGAGAAAAAAAAACTCTTACAAAATTATAGAGGTTTTGTGCAAAATGCCAATATACTGTACACATTTTGAATGCAATACATTTTTAAAGCAAAAACCATTCCAGTGATATTTTTTGCAAAGAAATCCCAAAACACTAAAAGTGTACAAATATTCTCGTAAACGTGCCCAGTGTAGAGAAAAAAGATTGCAATCTCCATCTTGATGTGCCAGAATAAAATGAGTCCAATAGGTCATTGGGGAAAGGTTCTAATTCTTTTACTATTTTACATGGATTCCTATCCCATAAGACCAGTTAATTATAGCAGAATGAATGAACTGCAAAATATATCTGTGGCTTATGTTGCAGGAGCTACTACATTTCATTTACGAGAGCCAACACACAGAGATCAATCAGACTACTTCAGATAAGTGGACTGTGGATGACACTTGTAAACCTTCACCCTCTGTTACAAGTGGAGTTTTCAAATATGATTGGCATGCTGTTTGGTGCTAGTCCAAGAGGGACAAGCTACCGGGTATTTTGGCTGTTTTTGACTTCATAGAATCTGCTAAACTACTACTGTCAAGTGGGGGAAAAAATAGATATAGGATTAACAAGGATGAGATTAATTCTTCTCTGCTGTGTGCCCCAGGAGGGAAACTGCCTTGATACCTTCCAAGGGATACTTCCCTTATAAGGTAAACACCAGCTGGGGAGAATTTTATTGGGACTGTAATATACAGTGGTCCCTCGCTTAACGAACAAGAGGGACAAGCTACCGGGTATTTTGGCTGTTTTTGACTTCATAGAATCTGTTAAACTACTACTGTCAAGTGGGGGAAAAATAGATATAGGATTAACAAGGATGAGATTAATTCTTCTCTGCTGTGTGCCCCAGGAGGGAAACTGCCTTGATACCTTCCAAGGGATACTTCCCTTATAAGGTAAACACCAGCTGGGGAGAATTTTACTGGGACTGTAATATAATCTTAAAACAGCAAAGCAGGAAGGGGTCCTATGGACCATGGAGTCAAGCCCTTGTCAAGGAGTCATAGTGGGGGATCGAACTCCAAACCTCTGGGTCGGCAGCCAGAGACTTAGACCACTGCGTTAGCATGGTAGGATAGAGTTTGGCCCTTCTTCATTCGTTATGGTTTCCACCTTGATTACAATCCTCAACCACTGCTATGTGATTTTTTTTAAAGTGGATATTAATTGCAATTAGACAATTAACATCCCTTCTACTTTGATTCCAGCGGAATCATGTGAAGGACAGACATCCTGTTTTCTCTCAGGAAAGTCTTCTTCTACACGTGGGATGCAGTACATTTCATTACCCCTCCCAGAGGACTGTAAGGAAAAGAAGAACAGAGAGTCCTATTAAAATTTAAGTTTAGCAGCAAATCACACACTCCAGAACATGTCTGCCTTATCAAATAGCCCACGAAAGGGATGTTCAATGATACTGGTTGCAAAAATATAAGTGTCAAGATAGAAATAAGCATATTGAAGCAAAGGGGGAAGGGAATGAATGGCAAACATTGCCTTTTGGAAAAAAAGCCCTCGATCCCTGTTACTTGTCACATAGCAAAATTGCAAGCTTGATTGATCCTGAGGCACTTCTGAACGTAAAGTAGAGGACTTTGCATTGAGAGAGTTCCATAAAGAGAAACAGGTGCAGCTCTTTGTCCTTAAACAGAGCTGCTTGGAAAATTCTGTGTTGCCTCCTTGATGGAAACCACATCGTTTCCTGCTTCCTTGTTGGTAGGCGGAATGGTTTATGTCAGGGATATTGGCAAGTCCAAGTCCCAAATCTGTGTTCAAGTCCCAAGTCTGAGTCCCTATTAAAAACAAGTCCCTCCCATAAAAAAGGGGACGGGGCGGGTTAGTTCTAAGTCACAAGTTGAGTCCGAGTCATTGAAACCCCCATCACCACCTTGAATCAAGTTCGAGTCAAGTCCCCCAGTGTGACTGAAGTCCAACCTGACAGCAAGTCCTATGACTCGATTCTCCATCCTTGGCTTCTGACTACTTTCCAGACCAAGATTTAGTGGGTATATAGTGCTGTAGAGCCCTCATTTCTTCTCTGTCACATTGACAACCCGTTAGTGGTGTAATTCTCTGCTTATTCGCTAACAGTGACCTTCACTTTGTAATTAATCAGCTTTACAAGAGCCTCAGAATAGAGTCTTAAATATTCTTTAATGTTGACATTTGCTTTGAAATTAGCCTATTCAACAAAATTCAACCGGTGACCCAGGTCAGTGCTCACCTTGCAGAACATATGTTATTTAAGGGTTCTTCAGTGTCCCTTTGTCTCTCTGGTTATTCTTTTTTCCCTTTGCTGTTTTCTTTCTTATCTCATGCCCTCACTCTCCACAACTTCTTTACTGCCCCTTCTATTCCACTACGTGCAGGGGAGGCTGCAGGACTTTGTGGTCACAGTAGCAATAAATCAATTCCAAGTTTAATTTGAATCGACCCGGGCTAGTCAAAGTGCTGAGTCCAGTCCTCAAATGAGGTTTGGCACCTGTAGATAGCGCCATCAACGTTCGGACTAAAAACCAGAGCACATTCACCACTGCTGCAATGTTGATGTCACTAGTCTACATCGGTTGTGGGTATCTGTGATATCACGCTGTCATTGTCAGAACTTGGAGGTACTGGCCAAAATCCTGTTGGCATATATTTACATGGTGGAAGCTGATGACATCATCATCTGTTGCCAATAAAACTTAATTGAAATGAACTATACGCTTCCTGGGATGACGTGGTCCTGCGGGTTAAACCGCAAAGCCTTTGGGTTGCATCGTTGAAAGATCAGCAGTTTGAATCCACGCGACGGAGTGAGCTCCCGTCGCTTGTGCTAGCTCCTGCCAACCTAGTAGTTCGAAAGCAAATAACATGTGAGTAGATAAATAGGTACCACCTCGGTGGGAAAGTAACGGCGTTCCGTGTCTAGTCGTGCTGGCCACATGACCACAGAAACTGTCTATGGAGAAACGCTGTCTCTACGGCTTGGAAACAGGGATGAGCACCATGCCCTAGAGTCGGACAAAACAGGACAAATTGTCAAGGGGAACCTTTAACTTATAAGCTTCCTACGCCCCTGATTTAGGCTCCAAGGCTTTCTGAGGCTCCTTTTTACCCTGGGGAGATCTTTGGGAGCTTCAGGATGCGGAAGATCTTTTAATCATCAAAACTCATTGTTGGATTGCCAACACTGGTGCCGATCCCAGCAACACCCAATTGGGTTGAATTTAAGAAAGAGGAGGCCCCAAGCAAGCAAACAAACAGAAAAAGCCAGGAACATCGAAACTGGTTCCATGAATGAGTAATAACCAGTAAAACAAAAGGATGCTTAACAATGCAAGAAACAATTACTATATGAAAATGCTTGTTGAAAACAGGGAAACTATTTCAGACGCCCATGGAAAACAAAGGCCAGCAGTTCATGCATTTGCAAAAAGAACATCAGAGGCTGTTGTGCCTAATTGACGAGAGGCTGGTTTCAGTCATGCGCCTAACTGGGCCTCTGCGCAGACCTGGCACCCTGTGAATTAGCAGTAGCAGCTTTTGCGATTTCTCTTGCAGTTGGATTTTGGGCAATGCAATAGGACCCCCATATCTGCAGTTTCATTTATCCATGGTTTGCCACAGCCCTATGCGCAACATACATTGTGTCCTTTGCCCCATCCCCCTTGTATGTTGTATATAGGGTTTCCTTGTATCTACAGGTTCAAGCATCCATTGTAGATTGTGGAACCAATCCCCTGCAGGTATAGGGGTCCTGCTGTATTTATTTAGAAAGTAGTGCAGGAAATACAGTGGTGCCCCGCATAGTGACGATAATCTGTGCAGCAAAAATCGTTGCTATACAGATTCGTTGCTATGTGGATTTAAAAAGCCCATAGGAATGCATTGAAACCCCTTCAATGTGTTCCTATGGGCTTAAAACTTAAGCGAAAATCCTCCATACGGCGGCCATTTTGGGCGCCTGGTAAGTGAGGAATCCATCCCTGATTTACCCGGTGGCCATTTTGGAACCGCCGATCAGCTGGGGAAAAACATCGTTATGCGATAATCGGTAAGCGAAACAGCTTACTGATAATCGCAAAGCGATTTTCCCCCATAGAAAACATTGTTATGTGATCGCAAAAGCAATCGCAAAAACATCGTCGCTATGCGGATTCGTCATTAAATGGGGCACCCGTTATGCGAGGCACCACTGTACTCATTCTTTCATTCTCCCATGAATACATATCATTTTGCAAGGGCTTGTGACACCACCAGTGCCCTGAACAACTCCAGTGATTTTTCAGAGATCTTTTGTTTTCCTTGTGCCCCAGCACTCACAATCCATTATCTATCTATCTATCTATCTATCTATCTATCTATCTATCTATCTATCTATCTCTATCTATCTATCTATCTATCTATCTATCTATCTGTCTATCTATCTGTCCGTCTGTCCGTCTGTCTATCTATCTATACCTTTATATATATATTTATACCTTTATACATTATATACCATTTATATATTATTGTCCTCTGACAAAGAGTGGAGACAGGGGAGCACTGCTGGGAAGAAGAATGGTTGGGGAAACTACCTTCCACTTCCACGATAATTTGCATTTATTTGGATCCGTCCCATGAGGGTGAAACCAAAACTCATGAAGGCATTCAACCCTGATATAAACAAGAGGAAAGAGGTTGAGAGGTCCGTTAGGAGAAGGACAGTCTCCAAATCCCATGAGGTCCTAGTCGCCCTCCATTCAGTGTTTGTTAGGCCTCATCTAGAGAGTACCGCATCCAGTTCTGGACGCCACAGTTTAAGAAGGATGCCAACAAACTGGAGCAAGTTCAGAGGAGGGCAACAAGGATGATTAGTGGGCTGGAGGCTAAACCCTAGAGGAAAAGATTGAAAGAACTAAGCACATTTAGCCCTGAGAAAAGAAGACTCAGGAGAGATAGGATAGCACTTTTCAAATACTTGAAAGGTTGTCCTACGTTGGAGGGCCAGGATCTGTTCTCAATCATCCCAGTGTGCAGGACATGTAATAACCGGCTGAAGCTAGAGGAAGCCAAATTTAGGCTGAATATCAGGAAAAACTTCTTAACTGTTAGAGCAGTATGACAATGAAAGCAATGACCTGGGGAGGTGGGGAGGGATCCAACACTGGAGACATTCAAGAGAAAATTGGACAACCATCTCTCAGATCTGCTTTGATTTGGATTCCTGCACTGGACTTGATGGCCTTGTAGGCAATTATCCTATGAACCTATGATTCTATGAGAGCAACAGCCTGTTGTGTACTGTATCCAAGGGGTAGGAGATTCTCAGTGCAATGGCTGAGTTTGAGGACAGAAACCTTCCCATCGTGCCCCCTTTCCTGCTTTCTCACATTACCTTGTCTTCTGGGTCAGCTGGATATCTCGGAAGAGGGTGTAGATGTGAGTGCCCAAGAAGATGTAAGGTTCCATCGCAACCCCTCTGATGGACGCATACTCCTTCTCAGTCAGCCCAAATGCTTCCATCATGTCAAAACCTAGAGAAAGAAGAGAAAGAGGGTCAGGCATAAAGCTGGGGTGGCCACTTGGCCACCTGAGAGCCGTTTGTGGTTCTCGACCTGATCTCATGTGGATTATGGTCTGATTACAAAATCCCATTGCATGTGGAGAGGTCTCTGTTTTCTAGCAACCAATGGCATGGGGAGAACGATGTAAATCCTGTAGGTGCTGCTGGTTAGGAAAAAGGCTCTCTCCACGTGGCCTCATAATTGGACATGGGTGACTGAGGGAAGGTCATGGGCCAGAGGGCAAAAGTTAACTCTCCGTGTGTACTACAACCTGCATTTAATCTCCCCTCTCATCAGCGGTCACACTGCCTTTCCTGAAAGGCTCCTTCCAATCTTAACTGCTGTCGAGGAAAAGCATTTTGTGAGCCTGTGTGTGTGTATGAGTGTGTGTGTGTGTGTGTGAGAGAGAGAAAGAGGGTTTATTTGTATTTCTTTAATGAACAGAAAATATGCATTAAATATTTACTCAATATTTATTTAACTTCCATTATAAAAGCAGCTCCATGCAGCTCAGGCATCAAAAGAACAGACCAAAAAGAAATTTTAACAAGATTAGAACAGATTAAACAACAAAGACACTCAAATCACACTAATCAGAGTGATTCAAATTATCATCTTAATTAGAACAATAGTTTAGAAGGACGGGTTGAAGAGGTGCGTCTTCCCAACCCTTGTAGGATCAGCAAGAGGAGCAACCGATCACATCACAGAGGGGAGCACATTTCTGAACCTGGGAGCGACGGGGGAGGAACCCTCGTGTGATGGATAGCTCAGTGGGTTGGGCGTCTGACCTTCTAGCTCTACAGTTCTAATGTCATTATTGTTGTTCTTTGAGTCCAATGACACTCCTGATGCTCTTAAATTACTATGCACCTTACTCAAAGTGCAGTTGTTGTTTAGTTGTTTAGTCGTGTCCGACTCTTCGTGACCCCATGGACCAGAGCACGCCAGGCCCTCCTGGCTTCCACGGCCTCCTGGAGTTGGGTCAAGCAAGGTGCAGGGGTGACCATAAACAAGCATCCTATATGCCTACTGAGCACACTGTCCATGTGTTCCTTCTGGATGGGCAACATCAAGACGTCTGGATCTCCCTCCTTACCATTCTATATCCTGGGATGGACAATCTTCTCTGGCAGCCCTTGTGAAATGTCCTCTCTAAAAGAGGACACACCGCCAGGTATATGTCAGTGGCTGAAATGCTGCTGCTGCAAGTTATATTGTGTGAGGCTGACGATGTCATCAGCTGCAGAAAATTACTGGAAATAAGACATTTACAGTTTCTCCCCTGAAGGTCCCAAGACTTCCATGCAATCACTGTCATTGTCGGGATGCTGCTGGGGACCACAGACAGGGAAGCGGAAGGCTTTAATGACCAAAAATTGCCCCTGCTAAAATGATTTTACCACCGGTAGGCATTTTGGTTTATTAAAGAATTCCCCTCCCGGTCCCGAGGCCCCCAATAGCTTTCCAACAATAACAGTGATTACATGAGGACCTCAAGACCTTCAGGGGAGAAATCTGAAACACTTTATTTCTGAATGATCATTTGAACTAATGATGTCACCGTCTCTGAGTGAATGAATGAGGCAGTAAGTGCCAGCTGAGGTAAACCAATCAAATAAGGTACGGTCTATAAAGGGAGACTTGTAGCCAAATCTGCTCTGCAGGTCCCTGCCTGACTATTTTATCCACTGCGTAATTAGAGGAAGTTTATTTTTAAGCCTCTAAATTTCTCACCCCTCTGCACAAGATGTTATGCGGTGTAACTCACAGAACAGGATTTTAGCCAATATGTATATATGAGCTATGGCAGAGATGACGCAACCTTCTTCTATGAAGAGTCATTGATATTACCCATGGATTCCTCATTCCGAGACTAACTGGATCCAAACCAAAGGCATGGACACTTGTTTTGGTATCAGCAAACAAGAATCCTGCCAGAGCCTCACCCTCATGAGCTTCTTGTATATGTACAGTATACAAGAATGCCCTGGGATCTCAGGCAGGCTGGTGACTTGAATTCTGCAGTGAATCCACTCTTGATTTCAGCCTGAACTTAATCTGCAGCTATCCAAAACATTGAACCCAATGTGTAAATGGGAATCAGCACTTTGGACAGCTCCCATAAAGTTCAGCTAAAAACTGAAGTGCACTCATCATCCCCACATAATCAAAGTCACTCGTTTCTCGTGCACCATAGTCTCTCTACCCCTACCTTTTCCATGGCCAAATCCTACAGGCGTTGCCAATGACAGGCTACTGAGAAGGAGGCCACAGGTCTGGATCATTATACCTGGCTTTCAGAACTAAGCATGAAATCTCCGGTGCTAGATCAGAAGCATCACACACAGTCCCAGCTCCATTTGAATGGACAGAGTATCTGCCGGGTGGATTTGAAGCCACTGGCTCCCAATCCCTCCTTTGCTATAAACACCAGGTTTCTTAGCCTTGCCTACCTGCAAAGGCTGTGAGGTGGATAAAATGACATACCCCAGATTTCTACACTGCTATTCTGAGATTTATAGAGGAAGAGACCAAGGGTAATATGACCAAAAGAGAATAAATGGCATAAAGCAATAACCCCATATCCACAGGGGATTGGTTCCAAGCCCACTGACCTCCTGAAGATGTGGAAAAGTGAAAGCTACACATGGAAAAGAAAAACATCCAGGAAAAGAAGTATTTTCACCATGTATTACCAGAACTGGCGAGTAGAGGGAGCCATAGACCATGCTATGTATCTTTCAACACTAGGAATATATAGCATGGTCTCTGGCTCGCTCTAGTGTCCAGTTCTGGTAAATATATTATGAAAATATGTATTTCTAGTTCTTTTAATATTTTTAATATTTTCAGATCATGGGTAAGAGATTCTGCAGATACTGATCCTGAAGATATGGGGATCCTACTGTATTTTTTTTCCTGCAGTTAAGAGCACCAATCACTGTGAAAAGGCACGAGATTAATGATGAGGCATCAATAGCCAACGTGGAATTTGATCCCAGGCTCAAATCTGTTGTAAGCCGCCCAGAGACCTTTGGGTAGAGTGGGCGGCGTATAAATTAAATAAATAAATAAATAAATAAAATAAATCTGCCCATGGGTTTGAAGCAGTTCTGCAGATACTGATCCTGAAGATATGGGGAGCCTACTGTATTTTTTTTTCTGCAGTTAAGAGCACCAGTCACTGTGAAAAGGCAAGAGATTAACAATGAGGCATCAATAGCCAATGTGGAATTTGATCCCAGGCTCAAATCTGCCCTGGGTTTGAAGCAGTTATTTATTTATTTAATATCCCGCCCATCTGGTCTTACGGCCACTCTAGGAAACTCTACCCTCTGAAACTAGTGTGTGTTTCACATTTAAAAGTGCATGTGTAGCAGTCATAAAGATCCATCCAGTTGCTCTATAACTGCACCATTTCTCATGCTGTAACAAGCAAGCTGGGATAAAAAAAAAATTAAAAGCATGCTCCCACGTTTATCTCTTTTTCCCCTTTTCGCCCCTTTAAACTGCTAAGCGAGGGCTGATCTAAGCTATGTGGTGAATACAAATTTTTTCCACCAAAGTAAGAAAGGAAGAGGGAAAACCATATTTTCCCCAAGCCTCAGCAAGATTTTCCTTCTTTCCCAGCTCCTCATTACAGCCTGATGAGTCATTTTCTAAGTCTTTAACACAATCTGACTTTGCAATCAGCCATATTCCACACAAACCCTTGCTTATTTGAATTTTATGGAAAGCTGAGGCCCGGGTGGGGGCAGAGGGAAGGAACAACTGGAGGAGAGATAACCGCATAAATCACAAGGGGAGCATGTTTTATTTTCATTTTTTAAAAAAAGCCCCACATATTTTAATCAATATTCTGCTTTCCCCCATTTCACCTCACCCATTGCTTCTATTTTCTGTCACTCAGTTCCAATTGTTATCTTCAAGACAGGGAAGGTCTGTGGCATGGAGGCAAAAGGCTCTTCTATTTCTGAGGAATTAGTACACTTGCTGGATTAAATCTGGCTAAAAAGGCCAGCCTTGAAATCTTTGCATCTCAATTAAAGTTTGCACCGAACAGTGAAGTTATCATGCAAATGTGAAGAGCTGCAGCTGTAAATGGCATGGAAGAAATAACAAGGATTGAACAACCAGAATTGTGTAGTGCTCCAACAACATCCTCTCAGGCTTTTTCCACTTGATGTATGTATGTTAGATTAGGCATCCTTCAGTCTCGAGAGACTATGGCAATGTGCTATGAATAGAGGTCTTGGAACAGCATCTAGTGTGGCTGAGAAGGCCAATTCGAGAGTGACCATCCCTTCCACACTGAAGACAAATCCAATTGGTCCCCTGTCCAGCTCCCTGGTTTTGCTGCTTTTGGGACTTCCTCTTTGCCTCGGCCTGCTGGACAAGGGACTCTTCAAATTGGGAGCAAGAATAGTGGTCTTCACACTCTGTAGGCAGTAGTAGGCATCCTTCAGTCTCAAGAGACTATGGTAGGAGGTCTTGGAACAGCATCTAGTGTGGCTGAGAAGGCCAATTCAAGAGTGACCATCCCTTCCACACTGAAAACAAATACAATTTGTCCCCTGTCCAGCTCCCTGGTTTTGCTGCTTTCGGGACTGCCTCTTTGCCTCGGCCTGCTGGACAAGGGACTCTTCAAATTGGGAGAGGCCGTGATGCACCACCTGCCTTCAGGTTGAACGCTCAGATGTCAAGGTTTCCCATCTGTTGAGGTCCATTCCTAAGGCCTTCAGATATCTTTGTATCGCAGCTGTGGTCTCCCTCTGGGGTGATTCCCCTGCACTAATTCTCCATACAGGAGATCTTATGGGATATGACCATCAGCCATTCTCACAACATGCCCGAGCCAACGTAGACATCGCTGTTTCAGTAGTGCATACCTGCTAAAAATTCCAGCTCGTTCTAGGACTACTCTATTTGGAACTTTGTCCTGCCAGGTGATACCAAAAATGCGTCAGAAACAATGCATATGTAACGTGTTCAGCCTCCTCTCCTGCCATGCACAAAGGGTCCAAGACTAACTGCAGTACAGACACACACGCACACACATTGTGAGAAAAGACTTAGACGATGTGCTCCAGAATTCTGGTGGTGCAATCCTTTTTTATTTCTTCCATGCAGTGAGGAGGGGAAATGTAGGCAAGGAATTTATCTACAAATGAAACCGTCGTCGGGAAGGATCATCTGCAAGGGCTGTGCTGAACGTTTTCAAGTAACCTTTCTTTCTCCTTTTTTTGGGTGCAATCAAGGTGCCATCAAGAAGCCAAAACATGCTGTCTAAGAACTGACAAACTACATCCCCAACCCAAGGGCTAATTTATGACTGATTGCAACCCCAATCAACTGCATTTTGCGTACTTTGAGAATGACTCAGTGGCCAGAGCCCCCTTGCTGATTTGCACTTGTATAACTGGAATTGTGTTATGATGATGTATTTGGTGGTAAATTGCCACCCATTAGCAGCATGCTGGTCTCTTCATCCCCTGCTTAGGGTCTATCATGTGTGCAAATGGCATGTACATCAGAGCACAAGCAAAACAGTTCTAACCATTTTGGTTTTCCAATATATTGACTTTACAAATATACAAACTGAATAAATCTCTTAAAATGTTTTATATGTGTTCCCAGTGTTATCATTTGGGGTTGGTATCTTTCTCTCTCTCTCTCTCTCTCTCTCTCTCTCTTTAATTTCAGACATTTAATATTGGGTAGTTGGGTCTTTGTTTAAAAATAACATTCATAAATTAAATTAAATTTTAAAAGGACCCCAACTCTAGTAAAAAGCCACTGATTTGTGAATAAAATTACTTTGTCACCTTACAGACATATTGTTCATGTAATGTACCATAAGCGTGTTTTCCTGATGAATTCATTGATTCCAAAATGTCCCACCCTTAGCAGGTCTCGGAAACTAAAGGCCATGGATTCCTTCAATGAATCAATCCATCGCACATTTGGTCTTCCTCTTTTCCTACTACCTTCTGTTTATAGGCATTGGCCACCTTATATTGAACTCTTACAGAGAATTACGCAATGAGGTCCAAAACAGAAAGGGATGTTATGTTCCATTCTGAAGGAACCCTTTGGGATGGCAGGTCTACCTACCTTGCAGAGAGCCTTCCGTGGAGTCAAGAGTGGGGCAGTCTGCAGAATAACAAAGAACAAGGCAAAGTTTTTACAAAAGAGCATAAAAACCTTCAAAAGACTGGTTTGCAATGTGATGCAGAGGAGGAGAGCAGAAGGCTGACACATTAGCAAGGTGAAAACCAGCTGTAAGATGCCCTCTTATTAGGGTGACCAGAGGAGAGAGCTCCTCTACTTTTTATAGCTGTGTGGAGGAGGGAGCCTCAGCAGGGTGCTTGCATTAAAAGCTGTGCCTGCAAAAACCCCTTCGTCAAAGCAATCACTAAAGGCAAAGAAACCTCGTTCAGTTTTTCCACCTCACCCCCCCCCCTTATGCATGGTCCAAAGAGAAAACACCTAAGCAAAAAGAGGACATGTTTGCACCGAAAAATGCCTGTAGTACACTATCTGCAGAGGATGACTCAGAGAAATAATCTCCATGTTTTGAAAGAGAAACAGAATTTGTGTCATTTTACTAGGGGAGACTGTGATCGAGCAGTGCCAATTTAATCTGCTTTCCTGCATCTAGGATCTCCAGGCAGGGCTGGAAAAGGAGGCCACCTGAATCCATGGCTGCCAGCCAGTGTTGACAGCATTGGAGTGAATGGATCAATGGTCTGCCTCGGCTTCCTCGCTTTCTCTCCTGGTGGGTAACTTCCTGATTCTTCCTCTCCCTTCTTGTGGTTATTTTTAAACTAGACCTGCCTCGGACAGCCGTTCGAACAGAAGGAGGTCCTCTGTCAAGCAAGGTCCGTGACCTGCCTACTTTGAAAGGCAGCACAGGAGTTACATTTTGGTGCGGCCCCTGAAATCAATACTGCCCCTTGCTTTGGTAGCCCCAGTTTTAGGCTCCAAAAATGGTTCAAAATAGTTTCTTTTCAGACTACAGCTCCCAAAGATGTCCAGGCAGCACAGCCAGTACCAGGGCGTAAAGGAAAGTGGGCCACAGAGGAACAACACTGAGGAGGCACTGTAATCTACAGGTGAATCTGTTGGAGTTTTTACAGTGTTGCATGCTGCCTGGCGGGTAGGTGGGGCTCGTCAGCCATGGAAGGCAGCCCATCTAGGAGAAGGAAAACTCCGATTTCAAACCTCCACTGCCTTGTGGCTATATCCACTCATGGAAAAGGCTTCAGGAGATAACCTTGAGGCAAAATCCGGAGCTGGAGTCCCGAAGGCAGCTCGTGTCATTCTGCCAACTCCTGCGACGTTGCTGGAACCAGTCGTATTGGCTCTTGCCTTTCCATTGGACCATTTCAGCAATGTGGAGAGGGGGGATCTGCTGCTTGGGTAACAGCCTATCCTCCATATTACCTTACCCGGGCTTCATGCTCTGGAGAGGACACTCCTCGATTCAGAGCATGTTACCATAGTCTCTCGAGACTGAAGGATGCCTATGATGATGATGCTGCCTGGAGAAGGTTTGGCTGGGAGAAACCTTTCTGGGCTGGCATGACTTGTCAATCTATCCAGCACTAACATATAGTTCCCTCTTGCCTCTGAATTCAAAAAGAGCTGTGCCTCTCTGCTGAAGGCTTCTCTTTCCCTCTTTTTTGTCTGTTGGAAGCAGTCAATGCGTTTGTTGAGGCCTGTTGCTGAAAGCAGTCATATTTGTCAGTTTGCTGTCTGAGCTGTCCAACTGTAAGTAAAGGAAATGGTTTTTCCTTACTAATGTCTCAGAGTGAGTTGTTGAGACTGTAAGCACCAGCTGAATGAGGAAAAGGGGTGGACTACTGTGGGGAATTTGAAACTATTCTGCTGTGTGAATCCCATCACTTCTGCTATGCAGCTAGAGGCATTTGAACAGAAATTCTAAACTCTGCAGCAGAATCTACTCATCAACATAAGGAAAATAAAGAGCAATCACCTCCTGGCCTTATTTACATTCCTGTTTTAGTATTTCTCTCCTTTTTTGTCCTCCTTTTTGATGGGAGCTCCTGCCCATGCCTCACAGAGGATGGGGCGGGAGAGGGTGTCACTTCCCCCAGTTGCCAAAAATGGCCGGTAACGGAACTGGCTACCACTCAGCAGGGAGTGTGAGGCCAAAATCCAATTGGTTTCTTAGCATCACAGAGCAGTGGCCTTTCTTTCCACCTGTTATCTGAGAGTCTTTACCTGGAGACACCCAGAAATAGGAACCACTGCTTTTTCTAGACTACACCTCCCAGTATCCCACAGTCCAGCATTTTAGTGTCCATGCTGGCTATGGAATTCTGGAAGCTGTAGTAAATCAACAACAACAACCACCCCTACCACCACCAGCAGCAAATCTTTCAATTCCTGGAGACACTTGGCATCTTCTGCATGCCAAGCATGTTTAGTTTCTTCTCTGCAGCACTAGGGCATCATCCAGAGTGACTTCCCTGATGAGGGACATGCACGCTTAGAAACAGAGATGGGCATGAAGTGAAAGACAAACCAGGAAGTTTGTGGGGTGGCGGAATTGCTGGTTCGTTGAGTTGGGTTAGGTTTGCCAAAACCGACAAACCAGGAATTTTATGGAAAATCACTGATTCATTGGTTCAGGTCAGTTTGGATTGGTCAAAATGGATGAACTGGAACCAACGTGACCCACAATTTTTTTTTTTTTTTTTAAAGTTTGGGGGGGGGGGCGGAATCGCTGGTTCGTTGAGTTGGGTCAGGTTTGCCAAAACTGACAAACCAGGAATTTTGTGGAAAATCACTGATTCGTTGGTTCAGGTCAGTTTGGATTGGTCAAAATGGATGAACTGGAACCAACGTGACCCACAATTTTTTTTTTTTTTTTTGAGATTTCATGAACTTTCTGGTTTATTCCATGCCCCCCTTCCCATGGCCCCTGTAGCCTCTGTATCTCGCCCTGTTGCCGCCTACTCTTTGCCTTCCTCCGCCGCCGCCATCTTGAGAGACAGCGGCCCGGCTTCCCTTCTGGGAGTAGACCTCTTGCCTCTGCATTTTCTGGTTTATTCCATGCCCCCCTTCCCACGGCCCCTGTAGCCTCTGTATCTCACCCTGTTGCCCTCTACTCTTTGCCTTCCTCCGCCACTGCCATCTTGAGAGACAGTGGCCTGGCTTCCCTTCTGGGACTGGACCTCCTGCCTCTGCACATGCTGATAGGCAGACGCATGCACAGAGGCTGCAGAAAGAGGGAAAGGAGGAGGAAGAGAAAGAGGTGGCAGGTCCAGGTAAGGAGATGATGGGGGGTAGGGAGCAGGCTGCGTGAGTGCAGTGTTTAATTTCACATCCCTCCAGGCACAAACATTTTTTTTTCTTAAAATGAACCCGTCGTGGGTGATTTTTCTTTTAACGGCCAGATGATTCGTGGTTTGTGGGTAGCCACGAACCACGCAATAACACAAACCACCCTTTTTCTGGTTCGTGTCAATCTCTAATTAGAAACAAACATTCCAATTTTGATCCATTCCCAATGGATATATTTTTAAAAAATCTCAGGTGGCATGATAAGGCAAGAGGCAGCATTTCTTACATTGTCCCTTCTCAGACAAAAGAAGGATTTTGTCCAAATGCCTTCAATGGAGGCTTTTCCTAATTTCTAGTTCATGGTTCATTTCCACTGAAAGTCTCTTTGAAGAAGCAAAAACAAAACAAAACAAAACAGAAAAACACCCTTAGGGGCACATTTCCCTTCAACGAGACCCATTATCTATTGAGACCCATTATGTATCAGAGGACATCCTTTGGATTGGCAGGTCCAGAACAAAAGATACTGGGAAGACATCATTTGGCAATATTTGGGGAGCCAGATTTAAATAAGGACAAGGTTTCTCTGCTACAAAGTCTTGTATAAATTAACTCTCTTGGTCTCTATTGTTCAGGGCACCTTGTCCTCTTCTGTATCTGGCACTCAGTTCCTTGTTACCTGGAAACCAAGGATCTTACGGCTGAGAGAAAGGAAGGTTCAGGATAAGACGTCTCTGTTAGTTGGGAGGGGAAGTGGTAGATTTAAAACCTATGGGTCAACCAGCAGGGGCAGACAGAATAAGGCACTGAGCTTCCCAAGGTCCCTTGAGGTTGCTTTGAATCTGCTCTCCACTTGATTTTGTTTCCCATTATTAGTGTGGTACTTGATTCTTTTAAATATCTGTATACTTGCCGTTTCTAGCTTTTAAATACTGTACCATCTTTTAATGATGTGAGCTGCCTTGGGTCCTTTTAAAGGTAAAAGCTGGGGTGAAAATAGATGGAGGGACGGACAGATAGACAAACAAGACAGATGTTGGAAAAGATTTTCGAATATCAACATAAGAATTCCTTAGCCAGCTGGGCCATAAGCAAGGAAATTCAAAGAGCCACCATCTAAAATGATGAATAGCTAGTCTTTAAGGGTGTTTTTGTCTTGTCTTGTTTCTTTGGATATTCATTCCCTTTCGAATCATAGAATGCCACGTCACAGAGACAGTGGACGTCCGGAGTATATTCCGTGGTCACATGGCCAGTGCGACTTAGACACGGAACGCTGTTACCTTCCAATCATGTTGGTCCCTATTTATCTACTCGCATTTGCATGCTTTCGAACCGCTAGGTTGGTGGGAGCTGGGACAAGTGACGGGCGCTCACTCCGTCGCGTGGATTCGATCTTACGACTGCTTGGTCTTCTGACCCTGCAGCACAGGCTTCTGTGGTTTAGTCCACAGCGCCACCATGTCCCTCAAAATGATGAATAGCTAGTCTTTAAGGTGTTTTTGTCTTGTCTGGTTTCTTTGGATATTCATTCCCTGTCGAATCCTAGAATGCCACATCACAGAGACAGTGGACGTTCAGAGCTTTTCCCACTTCTTTGCTCCCACCCAAAACAGTGGCCCTTTCTTGCTATGACTGAACACCAGCAGAACATCACTGGACATATAAATAGCTGCGAATTCTCCCCGTTTGCTCAGAAATAAGACAGGCTGGGGACGCTCAAAGAAATATATAAGGTTCACTCTGATTTTGCTTTTATTGCCTCTTCACACTCCCACCTTTTCAAAAAGCGTCTTGTGACCCAGAAATCTGGCACACAGTTCTTTTGGTCTTGCTGGATGGCTCAGTGAACTGGAGCACCTGAGTCAAGAGTTCGAATCCCCGACTGGGCCTCCTGGGAGAAGAGGCAACCTGGGTGGCCTTGGGCAAGCTGCACAGTCTCGGGGCGCTCCCAGAAGAAGGGAAGGGAAAACTACTGAGTACTCTATACCCCGACTGAACACCAGCAGAACATCACTGGACATATAAATAGCTGCGAATTCTCCCCGTTTGCTCAGAAATAAGACAGGCTGGGGACGCTCAAAGAAATATATAAGGTTCACTCTGATTTTGCTTTTATTGCCTCTTCACACTCCCACCTTTTCAAAAAGCGTCTTGTGACCCAGAAATCTGGCACACAGTTCTTTTGGTCTTGCTGGATGGCTCAGTGAACTGGAGCACCTGAGTCAAGAGTTCGAATCCCCGACTGGGCCTCCTGGGAGAAGAGGCAACCTGGGTGGCCTTGGGCAAGCTGCACAGTCCCGGGGTGCTCCCAGAAGAAGGGAAGGGGAAACTACTGAGTACTCTATACCTTTAAAGCCCTGGAAAGTGAGAATCAGCTTCATAATTCCTGCAGGAAAGATAGAGAAATGGCTCCATCTTGTTCTATGGACTATCCTTGTTCTATTGCCTTCCACATCATGTGTGCTCCTTACTTTTCCTCTCCTCGCATGTCAAAGTCTTCTCATTTTAACGAAAAGCCAATTACTGTTGTCATCTAAATGCTATGTTTAATTTTAATTACAGGCATACAAATTGGTTGCATAGCTATTCCTTGTGTTCTATTTTTTCCCCTGACTATTTTATTTGCTACTATTATTTTTGTCTTCTTTTTAGGCTGTATTCTGCAAAACAGCTTTCAGTTCAAAGCACAGCCCTTGTTTACTCACAAAGACGTGCCGCCGTATAACAATGACTTTGTGAGCCATTGTGCTGGTGCATTATATTAATGTGAACCCTGGAATGGCAGAGATCATTCCCCCCACCCCATCATCACTTTGTGCCCACTCTTTTGAAAGCATTAGGGACAGTAAAGAGAGTTGTTTTGTACACAACGCAAGCACTTTGGCATACATCTTGTGGCTCACCTTTAATCCCCTGCTAAATCCTCTCTCATCCTTTGAGCCAGGGAATCAAAAATTGGGACCCACCATTCATACAAATCAGAGATAAGAGAGGAAGAACCAAAGGCTCTTTGGTGAAGCACTGAAAAGTGCTCTCCATTTAAATTGGTTGAGTCAAAAAAGGCTCCTTTAAAAACTGAGAGGATTGCAGCTACTGTATTTGCTTCTGAAAAGGTCCCCAACAACCAAGGGAGCACGCAAGGCAAGCTCCAAGAAAAGTTTATCTTTTTGATGATGAAACTGGAGATGTCCGTGAAAAGCAAGGATATTCAAGAAGAGGTCCCATTTTGTAAAGTTCTCTCTGAGCATCTGCCTTTGGCATGATTATCATTCTCATCATCATTCTCATTACCATTATCCACAAGGTATGTGCAACTTTGCACAGTAGCAAAAGAGACCTGGTTAACAGAGGGATGTTTTGAGATACATTCCCTGCTTAGAATAGTAGATACGTGAACGGGAAAACATGGCTCAACTAGAGGTGTGTTGAGCTGGGAGGAGAGAAGCCTAGAAGGTGACATGATAGCCATCTTCAAAGATTTGAATGGTTGCCAGGTAGAAGATGGTACAAAAGGACTTACTTTACCCCAGAAATGGAAATTGATATTCAGCAAATTAATTAAGGCCAGAGCAGGAATAATCTGTATCCAAAAGACCCATATTAAAGACAATGATAGACCCCTGCTAGAAATCTTAAAACTAGGTAAAGTCTTTATAGCATCCAATGAACAAAAGAAAAGAGGAATGGCCACCTATGTAAAAAAGGAGCTAGACTAAAAACTGATATATGCCTCTAAAGATGGAAGAATACTTATGATCAGACTTCAGAAAGGGGGAGCAAAAATCCTAGTGATAAACATTTATGCCTCAAACAAAAAAACAAGGAAATTTTTATGAAGAGTTCCAAAAGAATTCCAAGAACTGAAGAAAAAATATGTTTAATTGGAGATTTTAAGGTGGCAATTGATAATCAGAAAGATACGTCAATGATGGATGGCAAAAAGAGGAAAAAGAAGAAGAAACCTAATTCCGAAAAACTTTCTGGAAATGGCAGAAGAGTTAAAATTAATTGAAATATGGAGAACTATTGAGACAGGTGGAAAAATACCTGAGTCGTGGAAAGAAGTCCATAAAACAGGAACTGAAAGGAATCAAATTAAGAATTACAGGCCAATTTCCCTGTTAAATGTGAATTATAAGATTTTTGCCTCAATTTTGGCTAACAAAATGGTCCTAACCTTGATGATACAGAAAGACCAGACTGGCTTTCTAGCTAAATGGAAATGCTGCAAATAAAAGAACAGTAATAGATATATTGGAGTACTATGAAGCCCATCCAGAAAAACAAATGATGCTAATCTTTTTAGATACAGAGAAAGCCTTTGATAATGTGAATTGGGACTTTATGCTGAAGCAATTAAAGATGATGGGCTTTCAAGGAAGCTTCTTTGAGGCGGTGGATTTATTCACAACAAAAAGCAAGAGTTAAGGTCAACGGCCAAATCTCAGAGGAGATCCAAATTCAACAAAGCACAAGACAAGGATGCCCCTTATCACCTTTACTTTTTATCTTAACATTAGAAATATTAAAGAGACAAATAAGGCAAAATCCCAGAATCAAGGGGTTGAGCATAAAAGGAGAGGGATACAAACTACAAGCTTATGCTGATGACTTGGTACTGTTGCTAGAAAACCCAGAAGAATCGATTAGAGAATTAATATCCACAATTGAAAAATTTGGTGCAGTATCAGAACTTAAACTGAATTACAAAACAACAACAACAAAACAACAAAAAATTTCTGACAAAAATATGAAACAAGGAAAAGCAAAAAAAAATAGATTTAGAAACTGGCTTTGAACATATGTCGAAAATTAAATATTTCGGAGTATATATCTCAAAAAGACAACAAGTAACTTGATGAAAGACAATTATCTCCCAATACTTAAGGAAACACAGGAAAATTTGGAAAACTGGGGCCAATTTTCAATGCTGGGTAGAACTGCAACTATAAAGATTAGTATTTTACCAAAACTTTTGTTCCTGTTCCAAAACTTACCAATACTGTTGAACTACAAATATTTTAAGGATGTAGACGCTGAGCTCTCTAAGTTTATATGGCAAGCTAAAAACTGAGAATAAAATTTAAAGCCCTACAGGATTTAAAAGAAAGAGGAGGAATGGGCTTACCAAATTGTTTACTATACTACAAAACCTGTACACTGAATTGGATAAAGGAATGGATTACTTCGGAGGACCAAAGACTTAAAATTGGAAGGGCACAATTTGAGATTAGGATGGCACACATATCTATGGTATGGTAAGGTCAAAGACCAAACACATTTTTCTCAGCACATTGTAAGGGGAGCGCTATACCAGGTTTGGCAAAACTTCCAGGGGCAAATATACAAAAAAACCCCAATATGGGTAGCACCATTGGAAGCTTTCACACAATCGTTTTCTAATTCTGAAAGAACTGAGATATACGTATAAAGAGCTTTTTAGTAACCCCCCACAAATTGACAAATAAATTTGTTATTTGTCAGTTTGTGGGGGCAACTTCGTGCTTCATGAATTGTGAACTTTTGATGACTCACGAAGCAGGATGACTTGCCAAAATGGTGGGTCATCCCCATATCTAGTTGAGTCTGAGCTAAGCCCAGTTCTACTGAAGCTTTCTACTCAGAAAGAAAACTTACTGGTAGCACTGGGGTAGGAACAGAAAGCTTGCGCGGAACGAGGCCTAGCTCAGTCTCAAAGCCTTCAAATTTAAGAAATCAGGAAATGCTGAAAACCTCACCCCTAAAAGAGAACCTCCACAAAGGTTCTAATCTTGCAAAGGGATTCAGCCAAGCACCTGTCTTCTGCCCGCTCACCTGAGGAAGCAGAAATGGAGGAGTGGAAAACATTTTGATGACACTGCTTATCCGCTGCCAGATGTAATTTTCTTCCTTTGTTGCGCTTCCCTCATAAACAATCCAACCGAAACCCTCACAGACAATTGCAAACCCCATTTTCACCCAGTGCCTGTATTTTACAATTGACTCTCCTGTGGATTTATATATATAGCTCTAAGTTTGCTCAATGTTTGTGACGAATCCTCTTCACAATGTGTTTTATAGGCAGTTGCTTGAGTGGGGAACCACCCGTGACAAACTGGCTTACATTAATAAGTCAATTTACCAGAAGGAGGGGAAGGTTTTAATTGAAAAGGTTTCTGAAACGCATTCCCAGCTTTCTGCTTTGGCCACGGGCTCAGACGTAAACATCCGCTTTCTGAATAATGCTAGTCATTTACAGCAAATAATTCCACACCTCATGATGGTGCATTGGTTTCACTTTGGAGATGAGGGAGAAAGAAACCATCGGGACTTAAGAACGAGAGCAACATTGGGCTGATACTAGACAGGAAAGGAAAGAAAGAAAAAAAAGGGGGGGAAACCTGGGGGAAATGTTAAAATTTGGCACTCAGTCCACTGGCACTGGATTTAGAAATGACAGTTCCATTTCCTGAGGGGAGAAAAAGACCCAGAAGCACGTGCCAAAGAATAAGATGACAGTAAAACCAGCCGAGTACAGAAGGTCAACGGAGGGATCTTACCTTCAGTTTTGAAAGAAACAGAGTCTCGAGTTGTGGGCAGTCTGGCCAAAATGGAAGCTACGAGAACAGAATACAAGATTGTCGTTCTGAAGGTTATCAGAGCCTGGCATAATACAATAAAGGACATAAAAACAAAGATCCAGGAGAACTGCACTCCATGTTTACTCAGAAGACATTTCCGCAGGGCATGAGGGAGCTTACTCATGATATGTTTAGGAGAGCATCCAAAAACCCATTTTAATTTCATATTCAGAAAGGGAAATGGGTTGATAAAAGGGGACGAAGATATATTTACTGAAGGATTCCAAGGAGCAGGAAATGAGAATCTGAGGTGAAAAAGCCATCTTCTTCTAGGCCCCAAGGGCTTCACACCAATCAAATATAAGGCATATATGTGTATTTGAGAAAGTGTTTTTTCCCCCCCCACACACCTTTTTGAAGATTTGTTTTTTGATTTGTAAACAAAAGAAGAGTTTCAATGAGCTAGGCTAGCTGCAAAGCTAATATAGTTTTCTTTGCATTTTAAGGATTTGTTGTTACGGGCTCATCAATCACCCTGAACTCATGGCAATCCCAATACAGTGGTGCCTTGCATCCGTTCCAGGAAAATCGCCGTTAAGCGAAAACATCGTAAAGTGGAAAAAAACTATTGAAACCCCTTCAATGCGTTCCAATGGGGTCAAAACCCACCGTCTTTGCATTTTAAGGATTTGTTGTTACGGGCCCATCAATCACCTTGAACTCATGGCAACCCCAATAGAGTTTTTGGGGTGTGTTAGATGTTCACAGAGTATTTTACTGTAGCCACTACTACTGAACCCCTTCAATGCGTTCCAATGGGGTCAAAACCCACCGTCCAGCAAAGATCCTCCATAGGGCAGCCATTTTCGCTGCCTGTCTTGCAAGGAATCCGTCCCAGAAAACAGCAGGGAGCCATTTGGTTTACCCGGTGGACATTTTGAAACTCCCGATCAGCTGTTTTAAAATCGTCATTTTGCAAAGAATCGGTTCCCAAAGCAGGGAACCGATCATCGCAAAGCGGAAAAAAAACATTTAGACCATCGTTTTGCGATTGCAATTGTGATCGCAAAAAGATTGTTGTAATGCAGTTTTGTCGTAATGTTCACAGAGTATTTTACTGTAGCCACTACTACTGAGTTCCACGGCTGAGGTGGGATTTGAACCCAGATCTCCTAGTTCTAGTTCAACACTCAATTGACCACACCACACTGGATCTCATTCTAAGCATAAATGGGGAAAATCCACAACCTCACCCCCCATGACCTCACCATGTTCCCTTTTTTTGACCTACGTTTGTGTTGGGTCTGATGTTACAAGAACACCACCTCTCTACTGCCTCACATAGGAGCTGTGTGAAGTTCGTCCTCCTTCGTTGAGGGAATTTTTTAACGCTGTCTTTAGAAAAGAAGTTATGAAAACCAGTTGGACCTAGGCGTGCTGTCCTGGGGGCCACAGGTTTACAATATTTGGAGGAACTAACAGCGTCACTTGCTGCCAATCTACTTCTACACTTAAGTCATGGTGCCATCTTTGACCTTTAAGCCCTAAATAAAACATACAGGAATCAATTCCAGTAGACATAACAGATGGTAAAAGGAAAAACTGTATAATACACTGGACATTTCACCCTACATGTAGTGACAGATGAACCTTTTTTCTATCCTATCTCTGTTATTTTCTCATGGTTTTAACCTTTTCTATTCTATCCTATGTCACCATTAATCTGCATTGCTTTTTTTTAAAGCCAAGTCAAGATTAATATTGAAATTTTGATATATATTTTTAAGCATTTAAACAGCTGCAGAAGTGTCGTAACATTCTGTGGAGTACAAATCGTGAACTGCCACTTATTTCCAATTTGTATATTAATCTGAGAGGGGTGCAGATCACATCATTTAACACAGAGGTCCCCAACCCCCGGTCCGTGACCCGGCAGCGGTCCACAGCCTATCCAGGACCAGGGTGCAGACATAGATACAGTGGGGTATCTACTTAAGAACGTCCCTATTTAAGAACAATTCTACTTAAGAACAGCTCCGTTTGCTAAATTTTGCTTCTACTTGAGAACAGAAATCCTAGATAAGAACAGGAAAAAAAACCTTTCCTGCTCTTTTTTTAACCTTAGGTCATCTTAGGTTAAAAAAAGTTCTCCCCTTAGTGGTAGAGTACGTATTAACCAGCTTTGCATTACAGGACCAGGCTGCAGACACAGATATCCTAACCCCCCCACGAGCACCGTCTTGCGCATGCACACAAGCGTGCTGTGCACTTGCGTGCAAGCACCCCTACAGCTCAAGCGCACCATGCACATGTTAAGTTCTTAAGCAGAGACCCCACTGTATCCTAACCCCCCCCCACAAGCACCGTCATGCGCATGCACACAAGCGTGCTGTGCGCTTGCGTGCAAGCACCCCTACAGCTCAAGCGCACCATGCACATGTGCACAAGCGCATTCTGCCCCCTGCAAGCCCGCTGTGTGCATTGCACGAGTGTCCCTCCGCAAGTGCAATATGCACATGCACGCAAGTGAACTCCACCCCCCCGTGGTCACGCCACACACACCCCAACCGGTCTGCGGATGGGAAAAGGTTGGGGACCACTGATTTAACACATGAATTTCAAAGGGCTGAAGTTGTCAAAAAACTCTAGCTGCACACTGGCTCCTGAGTTCAGTTAGATCCTCTTTAACTTTACAAAGGAGAGACATTGAATCAATCTATCCTGTTTCAGTTCACACCACTTCTTGTAATTTGCAGTTTGAATCGTTGTTGTGGTGGTGGTTATATGCCGTCACCCCAAAGTATTCTTGGCAACTCAAGAATGAGCGATTTCCAAAATGTCCCACTCAAGCCTTTGTTTTCCTTTATAGAGTCAGTCCACTTGAGATTCGGTCTTCCTCTTTCCCTCCTTCCTTTAACCTGTCCCAGTGTTGTTATCTTTTCCAGAGACTCCTGCCTTTTCATGAGGTGCCCAAAGCAGGACAGGCTACTTTGTTTGAATACAGATTACGGAAATGCCACTCTTCCAAAAATCTCCCTGCAATCACCAAGATGGGAATGGAAATAAATAGATCACTGATTTACCTACCTGTCTGGCCAACAACTGAGATGGGGTCACTCTCTCCTGTAGCATAAACTGCAGACAATGACACGGTGTATAATCTATTTGGAAGGAGCGAGTGAAGGGTGACAGATCTGCTCCTCCCCGAAACCGTTATCTACAAATGGGAAGAAGATGCAAACATTATCACCTAGCAGAGTTCAGGCTTATCTCGAGGGTAATACAACATTTGGTGCTAGAAACCCCCACTACACAATGTACAGACATGAAAGATAAGTCAGCTTCAGTTTTGTTACACAATGCAAAATTCCACCATGATCTTTGCCCATCAAACATTCTCTGATACATGTCTTCTACCACGACTACTATTCCTGAATGAATATTTCTGCATAGTTTGGTGTGCATTCTTCCTGAAGTGCACATTTTATTACACAATTTTTTTTTACCAGCCACATTTTGAGGCAGGTTGTCTGCATTTTTCAAACAGTGGCACTGCTCATCTCATGTGGATTTTTCAAATATTTGCATGAGCTTGTGGGCTTTGTTCTTTTTTTATGGACATAAGCCTTGTATAGATGTGTATGGAAAGTCCTGAGTGTCAGTCTGGGGAGGTCTGAAAGGGATATTTTCATGAAAAAATCCAAACCCATCAATGTTTTTTAGTCTCCCTTCCAGTAGTTAACTAACAGCTGCTAAGCTGGCTGGATGACTCCCTGAATTAGGTATTTGACTCCAGAGCCAGACATTGGGAGTTCAATTCCCCACTGTGTCTCCTGCAAGTAGAGCCAGCCTTTGTGGCCTTGGGCGAGCTGCACATACCAAGAGAATCTGATATATATCAGCTGCCTCTTGTGGCAGGCAATTCCACCACTTTAATCAGGTGCCTTGCACGAAGGAGGACTTTCTTTTATTGCTGCAGAATCTTCCTCCCAAACCTACCATTTCCTGGTGCTTGTTGTTACGACTTTCAGGAGCGTAGGTGAGTCGGTAGTGCTGCACGGCTCCGTCGGGTGGGTTCCAGTGGATCTGAAGGCTGCTTGGTGTTTCTGAGTCAACCACAAGGTGAGTAGGTGGGTTCTTGGCAGCTGTATGGAAATCAAGAGGGGAAGGGAAGCAGGAGGGCTAACTTGCAGAAGTGAGAACTGGGCCTTTCTCGAGACCCGTGGTTGCCATCTTACTATGCAGCTGCCTCCATTTCATCTGAGACATGATCTGCTAATATTAGGCTGTTGGTCAATCAGTTGAGTCTTGACACTGCTCTTGAAGCACCTAACCACTGACCATTTCTGATCATCAAGCAGCCAGCTTCACAGAGTATGGTCTGACCCTATCAATAAGTCCATGCACAGCTCTATCAAGGTCTTCTTTTTCTTCCTTTCATCTCCTGTTAAGATCCTGCACAAGAGTCAGCACTCTCCCCCAAGTTCACAGCCTGTATGCCATTCCCTTTTCCTACCTCTGAGCAACTCTGGATGCTTTCGGTCTGCCTGGATGAAGCTATGTAGCCCTTTATGATGCCCAAATATGCTTGCAGTGTATCTCATTAGAGAGGTTTTTTTGTGTTTCAACTATGGCAGGATGGGGTACCAAGAGAATCTGATAAATTGCAAGGGGAGGCAGAAGCAGGAGGTGGTCTCTCCAAGATTCAGAGTTCAAGAGAAAACAAATCTTTGGAGGACCCAATAGTTTAGATGAGTGAAGGAATGCCTCTGTACCTGAAAAGGAACAGGTAAGACAAGAAGGCAGTCCCAAAAGATGAAAACAAAACTGTACAGAGAAACAAATGCCATTGTGCGAGTCAGTCTGCAAATACAATAATCCAAATGGAAATTGGAAATCCATTTCACACTCATAGAAACATCAGAATCTGACATATCCTGAGTGATACCTTTAATCCAACCAGCCCAAGACTGCTGACACTGACTGAGCGTGTGACTGAACATTAGGAAAAATGTGAAGTCACTCTTGGGTTTTCCTGGGTTAATTCACTTGAACTGCTCACAGAGGAGACAGCAGAGAAAGTGGAGGAAATTGGTGCTCTGCCTAGTTTGCAGCTTGTTAAGGTAGCTTTTCTACAGCAATCCAGCTTTGCAGGAGGCATGGTTAAAGGGCAGCTACCTTAATAAGGTGGAAACAGGGCTGACGGACAACTTCCTCCTTTCCCACCGTGGACTCTTCACTCTCCTTTTCCAATTTGGTCACCTAGCTAGCTGCCTTATCACAAGGTCAGCAAGCCTTTGAAAGAAAAAGAAACATAACAGGAGGGAACAGGAATGAAGAGGGAAACAAAGTAACCCAGACATGAGGTTTGGGGAGGAGAGGATTCAAATGGTAACTGGTTTCCCCACTGCATTGCCCTGCCTCTCTTGCTGCTGCTGTGACCAAGATGAATGGCTTCAGAAAGGAGGACTGCAAACCCCTCCATATCCATTTGAGCAATCACAGCATCTGAACCAATGCAAATGTATTTGATTCCCATAAAGTAGAAGCCCCTGAATCAGAAGGGGAAAAGTACGGATGGAGGGGCTGCTCCAAGCTAATTCACATTGACTTGTGCATCATGTAGTCAATAGAAAAGAATGTGAATCTGATCATTTCAATCCTGGAGAATTCCCCACATTGCTTATCAGTGTAGTCACCTCCCTGACAGTGCCTCTTCAGGGTTGCAGGCAAGGGTTTTCCCACCCATAGCAGAAGATTTCTTGGGCCAGAAAAGCTGCCTAGGTTGTGCTGTTGAGTATGGTGCTGGTTGCGTTCCCGGATGCTCACCCAGTCTCAAACATGTGTTTATCTCCTGGGATAAAATTGAGTTTGCCCACATTTTCTTTAGTGATATGCTAAAAGTTTTGGCGACTTACAGGGGAGAAAGAAGGCCTCTGTACTTGGAGGAGAAACAAGGACACAGCCGTTCCTGGGGAACATCTTTTCTCTTGCACAGCTTTTTGCTTCCCATGGAAACAGAAGTCGCATTTTTGCTTTCTGCTTCCAGCTGGGCTACGAATAACCTTAACATGTTCTTTTGGGGCTTTCCACAGAGTAAGTGGAAATTCATTGATTCCCCTCCTTTTGTTCGTATCTCTGTCTCACAGAGCCAAACCAAAAGATTATCGACTGTATTTTGCTCCAGGCTACGGCTGCTCTTCAAGTTGCCAAGAAGGCCTGGGAGGACTCCTTCCTCTTGAGGTTGACCTATATTTTATTATGGATGTGTCACAGTAGGCCAAAGGAATAGGTTGATGGCACAGACCTCTTCTCCCTCTTCAATTCAGAATTGTTTCTAAAAATGTGCAATTTAAGTCACACAACAATACGTCGTTCCCTTGTTCTTGAAGGGTATAGTTTCCTTACAGTGATTACCAATGATTTAACCAGACGGGATGGAAAAGCGGTTCAGCTTGCTTGCTGTTCATTATTGAGATCCCTGTCCTCACCACACTGCAAAAACCATCTTCTTAAAATCTGCTTCTTCTCCAGAAATCCTTGAAATCCACTCAAAAACCAGCTGGAATTTCCTTTTCCTACTGGAGTTTCATTTCTGAAGGTTTTTTTTTAATTGTGTTGGTTAACTTTATATTTGCAACCTACTAAAAGAACATCTAATGCAGAAATGAGCTTCCAATCTCTTGGAACGAAATCAAAACAGTCAAAGCAATCAACAAGTAGAAACATGGTAGGAAAGAATAAGAAAAGATACTGAGCATAGTCTTGTATGTTGACTAGGCTACACACATTGAAACAGAAAGGGAATAGAGACATTAGGAAAAAATAGCTGCTCTCCAGAGTCACTGAACGGAGGCTGTGGGGGCTTCAAACAGATCCTTCTACATTTCCCTAGCATTACAAAGCATCCAGGAGGTCTGAAGGAATAATTCTGCTTCCACGGGTCTCCCGGTGGGGAGACAAATCTTACAAGATTTGTGGCCAGAGAAGAGAACATTTTTTTATTATTATTTCCAGGCATGAAGCATCCTTATAAGCTGGTCAGTCATCTCCTCCTAACTGACATGATGGCACATTAGCTTAGCACAAAGTTACTCATACGTGCAACCAACCGTGTTAGTTGTGCTTGCTTCCACCCCAATCTGTGACTGCCCCACCTCTGTGACATAACACAACAACAACAAAAAGCCCATGACATCACAAGGCTGGCCCTGTGACAACACACACACAAAAATGTCCTTTGGCCTTCAACAACCTTAAGGCACAATATTATAGCTTCTGCCCTTCAGGAAGGAGTTCTGGAGAATCTTCGGGCTGCCTGGATTCTACCTTACCTACTGGGCCCCATTTTGTGGGTTAGGTTTCGGTCCAACTCTGTACCACCTAGACTTCTAAATGGAAGATGCTTGGATTCAATGGGTTTTAAATATATCACCATACTAATTGAAATTCAGTGTGACTTCTAAAGGGACATTTTGAAAACATGGGCTGCCGTACTTGCGAATGAACTCAAGGCTATGAAGAAGCTGATTACTTGGCAGTGGCCAGCATCTGATGGGTTGTCATTCTGCTCTAGCCTTCTTGAGACTTGCATCCCAAGAAAGAAAGACAAAATTAACCAGGCAAGGGAACCTTAAATGGTGCTCTTGAAGAAGGGATTTGCTCAGAAAGCTCCTGCGGGCCCTGTACAGTCTTGATAACAAGATTTTGACAGGTGGAAGAAAGGTCAGGGGTTTTCAGGCTGCCCAGGAGGAAACAAATGTTCCCTGACACAAGGAGTGCCATCTGTGCCAGCAGCCTTGAATCTGCTTCTTCCAGCGTCCACTCACAACCCTCCCTCCTGTTTTTTTTCTTTTTCTTGAAGTAACCCGAGCAACCTTTCCATGGACAAGTGGGTAAAATATAGCATTCATGAGCTAGATGAGGCCATGATGATGTTTTGGAAGGCAGAGTTCAGAAGAGGTACTTTTCAGAACACAGTTCCTTGTGTTCCATCCACTGGGCATGGCCCGTTAAGGTAAGACACTACAGCAGTAGTTCTTCAGAAGAGGTACTTTTCAGAACACAGTTCCCATAATCCCTTGTGTTCCATCCACTGGGCATGGCCCTTCTTAAGGTAAGACACTGCAGCCGTAGTTCTCGACCTTGAAGAATCTCCAGATGTTCTTGGACTGCAACTCCCAGAAGCTCTTGCCAGTGGTGGAGGCTTCTGGGAATTGCACTCCAAGAACATCTGGGGATTCAAGGTCGAAAACTACCGCTGTAGTGTCTTACCTTAACAAGGGCCATGCCCAGTGGATGGAATGCAAGGGATTATAGGAACTGTGTTCTGAAAAGTACCTCTTCTGAACTCTGCCTTCCAGAACATCATCATGGCCCCATCTAGCTCACGAATTTGGATGCTACAGAAATGAGTTGCCCTTCCCTCCTATGTCGGAGGAACCACCCTCGGCACCCAACAGTGTTTTAAAATCACAGCCTTTCTATACTGTAATGGACAGAGAGGAAAGGGAATGAAAAGCTGGCCCTTCTCGTCCATTCTGTCTCTGGCTCCAGAGGTACTCACCTCTTCTGGTCCTGTATGCCCTACCTTTAAGTAATATGGCTACAGCTGATGAAACAACGGCCTGGATCCATCTATCAGTGTGATCATAATTTAATCCCAATCATCATCTCCCTCCCACACACCGAGAAAGCACACCACCATATCAGACAGATCCCATTCTTGGATTGTTCAGACTCCACCCCAGTCTTCTCTGATTCTGATCCACCCTGACTTTGCCCTTGTAACCCAATTTAGGGTGCTGAAGAATCAACCTTAGTTTGTCATCTTTTTAATCTTGGCAGATGTAAAGGGATCTGTGATATCACGAAACAGCAATTGTAAAGGAACAAAATGCTTATGTTTCATCTCTCTCTCTCTCTCTCTCTCTCTCTCTGTTTCTTTCCAGCCTTTGTACAGCGGGAACAGCCGTCCCCAGAGTACTTGATTATTTAAAACTAGTGTAAATGCCAGTGTGAGTAAGAGAAAAGGGGAAAATAAGGCTCGGCAAAAACTGGTCTCACTTGGCAATGCAAGAGTTAACCCATACTTTCCCCACTATATAACATCTGGTGGCTGACATTCTCACTCAGACCATTAGGA